CTTACCATCTAGCTGTTAAGTTAGATAGGCGAAGCGATGGATGGCAAGCCACGGTTAGTTGGATGGATAAAGCGAGTTGGATCCGGCTATGGAATGCGGATATCCCTCCGAAGTTGAAGGTCTTTGTCTGGCAGATTCTTTCTCGCATCCTTCAAACTACTGAGGCCCTGATGAGCAGGTGTGTGCCGGTGCTCCCTCGGTGTCCGGTTTGTTGGGATAGCCCTGAAACGATGGAACAATTGTTTCTTGAATGCCCTATGGCGCGAGCCTTGTGGGATTACTTAGGGCTGGAGTATGTAGGGGAGGGAGTGGCCAGGCACACTTTCCCTCTGTTCCTTAAGAAGGTGATGGCTTTGATTAACCAACCCCAGTTGTTCATGGCAATGGTTGCTATCCTGTGGCGGATCTGGCGCTCGAGGAACTGGGTCGTCTTTGAAGGCAAGCAGTTTGGGATCCCGGCCTTGATGCGCCAGTTTCATCAACAGTATGAGGAATGGGTGCGGCTGCCGAGGGAGAAGGTTCTCCAGTCCGCAGCCCAGGTAGGGGAGGACAGAGGGCTAGGGGCGAATGGGGGTGTCATTTGTATGTGGGATGGGGCGGTTCGGTTAGGGTCTCATTCGGCCGGGGGAATGGTACTGCTATCCTCAAGTCGGGAAGTCCTTATGGTCAAGGCCGTCCATTTCCCACTGATGGTCGATCCGATGACGGTGGAGCTACTAGTTCTTAGGGAGGCAGTTTCATGGTGTCTGGCAAATGGCTTCACTAATGTCTTATTTGAAGGGGATGCGAAGGTGATCATCGATAAAATCAATCAAGGGGATGCTAGGGACAATCGAGTGGGTGCTGTCTTGGAGGAGGTCTTACATTATTTCCGTACTCACTCTAGCTTGAGGGTTCGATTCGTAGGTCGGCGTAGTAATAGGGTAGCCCATTTGGTGGCTCGGAAGGCCCTCTCTTTGTACCCGATCATGAATCGTGGCTTTAATTATCAGGCCTGGCTGTGTTCCAGGATGTAACTATTTTCTTATATCAATACATGATTATCTTTTGTAAAAAAAAAAAAAGAGAAGAAAATCCAAGAGTTATTGGGCAATGAGGAATTTTATTTTATGGTTTGAATCATTTATGTAGTTTCATATTGTCATACGTGTATTTGTTTTGTTTGACAGTTTAAGACTTGAAAGTATGTACCCGTTAATTTGTATGTAATGACTTTTTATTAAGCATTGTTAATTTGCTATGTCATTTGTATTTGGATGTAGTTGAGACATTTTATATATATATATATATATATATATATATATATATATATATATATATATGGGTGGCTACTTCGGTGCACTCACTTTTTTGGGTGCATTCAGTGCACCCACCTCTAAAAGTGGTCATAATACACTAAATTTTGAAATTTAATGGGTTGTATTAGTCTAATATGATGATATAACATAGAATCCCAACTAATCAACCCATTACCCTAACCTATTAACCTTCAATTTTGAATCTCAACCCAAAATCCCAAATTGTAAACCCTAACCCTAACCCTAAATTCCTAAACCCTGAATCATTCAAATTAAAGTGAATCTTGAATGATTTTTGCACAAATTCATGTGGTTCTTGTTCATCATACCACAAGTGATAATTGACATCGTTTTCACATGAATCGCCTGCTCAGAATGATGATTATGAGGCGGGTGCATTGAATGCACCCAAAAAAGTGAGTGCACCGAAGACATAACCATATATATATATATATATATATATATATATATATATATATATAGTTCAGGCTAGCGTGCGCCCGGGCGTACGTTAGGCTATCGTACGCCCGTTGAGTTTTACTATTTAGATCGTGAATTAAGGAAAAAATCCAAAAGTACCACTGTTCAAAAAAAATATTCCAAAAATACCACCCAACCCGTAAAAATTCCAAAAATACCACCCTTTTTCAAAAACCGCCACCCCACCCAGCGGTTTGGTCGAAAACCGCTTGTCGGGGGCGCGGTTTTGGACCAAACCGCGGGCCTAGGGGGCGGTTATAAAAAAAAATAAAATTGGACCAAACCGCTGGGTGGGGTGGTGGTTTGGCCCAAAACCGCCACCCCAACCAGCGGTTTGGTCCAAATATATTTTTTTCTCGACCAACTCCTAACTTCGGTCGAAACTTCAAACGAATGTAACTTTGCACTCGGTTATCCGATCGTAGCGATTTGTTTTTTCATTTCGCATAACTTTTCAAGATCTACAAGTTTTACTAGGATGAAATTTTCAAAACAGGAACTATTTGTGGATATACGGGACCTTGAGAATAACTTTACCTTTACTTTTCAGAAATCCATGTACATTTTGAAATTATGATTATATTAAAAGTTGTAGATCTTGAAAAGTTATGCGGAATAAAAAAAAAATTCATGACATTCGGATTTTGGAGCACAAAGTTATGGCCGCCCAAAGTTTGACGAAATAAAAAAAAAGTTTGTTCGGGGTGGCAAATGACGTTTTTTTCGAGACGAAGACGGAACCCGACTGTTTGAGACTTGCAAAAGTTATTCGGATTCAAAAAATGGAGGCCGCAAACCTTTTGAGATCTTGCAAGCCGCAAACCGCCGGGTCTCACCTTTCGTCAAACTTTGGGCGGCCATAACTTTGTGCTCCAAACTCCGAATGTTATGAACTTTTTTTTTAGGGTAAATACAATTTAATATCCAAACCTTTCATTTTAAACAATATAATAGCCAAACCTTTTCGAAAACAATCTAATATCCAAATCGTCAACTTCCGTCCGTTTGACCGTTAGTTGACACTTCAAAAAAGTTGAAAGTACGACACTTCATCAATATCCATTGATATCTTCTCTGAAAAATCACCACCATATCATGGTTCCAAACCCGAGAAGTCCATGACTCCACCATTATGGTACAGAATATCTAAATATTCAGTCATCTGCAATGCCAAAACAAGAAAACAGGTAGTATTGCGACAATTTCTCCTAAACAAAACTTTTTTGAAGTGTTAACTAATGGTCAAACGGACGGAAAGTTGACGATTTGGATATTAGATTGTTTTCGAAAAGGTTTGGCTATTATATTGTTTAAAATGAAAAGGTTTGGATATTAAATTGTATTTACCCTTTTTTTTATTCCACATAACTTTTCAAGATCTACAACTTTTAATATAATCATAATTTCAAAATGTACATGGATTTCTGAAAAGTAAAGGTAAAGTTATTCTCAAGGTCCCGTATATCCACAAATAGTTCCTGTTTTGAAAATTTCATCCTAGTAAAAGTTGTAGATCTTGAAAAGTTATGCGAAATGAAAAACAAATCGCTACGATCGGATACCCGAGTGCAAAGTTACGTTCGTTTGAAGTTTCGACCGAAGTTAGGAGTTGGTCGAAAAAAAAATTTTTTTTTGGACCAAACCGCTGGTTGGGGTGGCGATTTTGGGCCAAACCGCCACCCCACCCAGAGGTTTGGTCCAAATTTTTTTTTTTTTTTTATAACCGCCCCCTAGGCCCGCGGTTTGGTCCAAAACCGCGCCCCCGACAAGCGGTTTTCGACCAAACCGCTGGGTGGGGTGGCGGTTTTTGAAAAAGGGTGGTATTTTTGGAATTTTTTGGGGTTGGGTGGTATTTTTGGAACTTTTTTTTTAAACAGTGGTACTTTTGGATTTTTTCCGTGAATTAACCGGAGTTTTTGGCATGATACTATACCCTAAGCTCTAATGGGTAAACCCCAGTCCCTAATTTTCTAACCCAAATCATGAGATTCGTTTAATCTTAAAAGGTAAATCAACAATAATTTCGACAAATCAGGACCGTTGATTTTCATTTTAAGATTAAATGAATAATATGCTTTGGATTAGTGAATTGGAGACTCGGGTTCACCCATTAGGGGTTAGGATATAGTATCATGTCCCAAACTTTGGTTAATTCATTGTCTAAATAGTAAAACTCAACGGGCGTACGGTAGACTAAGGTACGCCCGGGCGTATGCTAGCCTTTGCCATATTATATATATATATATATATATATATATATATATATATATATATATATATATGGTGAATACTGGTGTACGTCAGGCGTATAGTATACGTCAGGTGATCTAGCCGTTAGATGTAGTTAGATGAGCTCCGGCCGATCTCAACGGTCAATTTTTGTTTTTCATTTAATCAAACTTTGGGTTAGGGTTTAGAAAATGGGTGCCTGGGGTTTATCCATTAGAGGTTAGGGTATACTTCATACCCCAAACTCGATTTAATTCATGGTCTAGATAGAGATATCTCACTAGTAGTACCTGACATATAGTATACGCCTGACGTACGCCAATCTGACCCATATATATATATATATATATATATATGGAACCGACTCGTACGCTCCAGGCGCATAGCATGCTCCAGGTCCTGAGATCGTTGATCTAATCTAACGGCTAGTATTAATTATATTAAAATTATATATTTAATAAAGATTATGATTACAAATTACACCCCTTAAATAATTATATGTGCTATGAAGTCCCCGAACAATAATTACCATCATGTTTTCTCGTCTGATACCTTATTTTATAGAGTTCTATTATTCAACAGCAAATTTTATACAATTGATAAAAAAATTCTCCATTAAAATTTGGCTGGAATTGTTAATGAATCAAAACTTCATTGTCATCATCCACTCAAAGGTTATCGTCATCATCAAAGCAGACCATCCCTAATTCCCTCTTCTTCTTCTTCGTCCCGACTGTCCCTCCTCTCCTCGCTCTATCAATCCCATCTTGACCCTTCAAACTCCTTCTCTCCCACTCCCTATCTTTTACCCCCTTCGTAGCCCAGACTTTCGATTGGGCGCAGCAGGACGAGCAGAACACTACATCCACCATTGCTGACTCGGAACAGGAAGAAGAAGGTGAGGATTCCGCAGCCGAGGAGGGCCCGGTGGCTTCCTACGCCGCCGCCGAAGATGGGGATGATGCAATTGAGGCGCAGGAGCCGTCGGAGAACTACCAGCGAGCGCTTGACGACGAGCTCGACAATCTCCTCGCCCAGCGGAGCGATCTCGACAAGCAGCTCGTCCACCTCCAGAAATCGGCCGAGGTTCTCGAGATTGTCAAGGCCGATTCTGACTACTGGAGCAGCAATGTTGGTTCCACCTGCGACCTCGCTGACCACGTCAGCGCCAAGGTTCGGGAGCTGGACCTGGCTCAGTCGCGAGTGAACACTACCGTGCTGCGGATCGACGCCATTGTCGAGAGAGGGAATTGCATCGACGGAGTGAAGAACGCTCTGGAGTCGGAGGATTACGAGTCGGCCGCCAAGTATGTGCAGACGTTCCTTCAGATTGATGCCAAGTACAAAGACTCCGGATCCGAGCAGAGAGATCAGTTGCTGGCTTCCAAGAAGCAGCTTGAAGGGATTGTGAGGAAGCGGCTCGCTGCTGCAGTGGATCAGCGAGATCATCCCACGATTCTGAGGTTCATTCGGCTGTATTCGCCTCTGGGATTGGAGGAGGAAGGGTTGCAGGTTTACGTAGGGTATTTGAAGAAGGTAATTTCTATGAGATCGCGGCTTGAATTTGAGCATTTGGTGGAGTTGATGGAGCAGGGGCATGCTCAAAACCAGGTTGATTTTGTTGGTTGTTTGACTAACTTGTTTAAAGACATTGTGCTAGCCATAGAAGAGAACGATGAAATATTGAGGAGTCTCTATGGAGAAGATGGGATTGTTTACGCGATTTGTGAATTGCAAGAAGAGTGTGATTCTAGGGGTTCCCTCATTTTGAAGAAATATATGGAATACAGGAAATTGGCCAAGTTAGCATCAGAGATCAATGCCCAAAACAAGAACTTGCTTGCTGTTGGAGGGCCAGAAGGCCCTGATCCTAGAGAGGTTGAATTGTACTTGCAAGAGATTCTGTCGTTGATGCAAATAGGTGAAGATTACACGGAATTTATGGTTTCCAAGATTAAAGCATTGAGTTCAGTTGATCCGGAATTGGTACCAAGAGCCACAAAGTCTTTCACGAGTGGGAGCTTCAGCAAAGTAGTCCAAGACATTACTGGCTTTTATGTGATCTTTGAAGGGTTCTTTATGGTTGAAAATGTTAGGAAAGCCATTCGGATTGATGAGCAAGTACCTGATAGCCTTACCACTTCGATGGTGGATGTTGTGTTCTATGTTCTGCAGAGTTGCTTGAGAAGAGCAATTTCCACTTCAAACATTAGCTCAGTGATTGCTGTCCTTAGTGGCGCAGGTAGTTTGTTGAGCTGATGTATTGTGATCTTTAGGAAACTCAAGCCAAGTGAGTGATGGTGCTGGGGCTGTATTGCTCATGAGGAGAAGTGTTGCAATGCAAAAGGGTCTCCCCATCCTTGGAGTGTTCAGGTTAGCTACATGTTCACTTTAAGGAGTCTTCACAAGTTATATTGGTACTTAATGTTATTATCGCTACCTTGCCTGCCCCATTACACTGAAATCAAGTTCAGGGCAGAAAGTTTCCACTTAGCTGTCTGTTGCTTTTTTTTATTTAGTTGAAAGCAATACGTGAATGCATGGTGAATGTCTTGCAATTTACTAAATGTAGAAATAAATTCCTGCATAACGATAAAGTAATGAATGTCCTGTAGACAACAAATTCAGACACCTTATTTTGAAAGACTCTGTCCCAACTTATTCACATTCCTCTCAAGTTTCTGGCCTCTTGAACTTGATACTGATGTTGAAGCTTCTTCCTTTTGCTTTTACTGTAACACCAATTTTTGGATATTTTTCAGGAGCTTTTCTGCTGTTGGTGTCGATCCTGCCATAATGGGTGTTGGTCCAGCTGTTGCAATTCCAGCAGATGTTAAAGCTGCTGGTCTAGAGCTTGAAGATATCGACCTTTTTGTGTCCATGTGCATAGGTCGGGGATATACCATATGGACTAGTCCCTTACTCTTCTAGATTGAATTGTGTTGTTCGATCAGCGATGTACCATGTGGCTAACTATGACAACTCTAATGTGCAGGAACCGGGATGGGAGCGGCAGCTGTGTTCGAAAGAGGGGATTGTGTAGATGGCCTTTGCAATGCGAAGAAAATAGACAGCCAGAACCTCTTATCCAAAGATGCCAAGTAAAACCGTTTCTCGCTGCTGGGAGGAATGATTGCCGGAACCCTCTCTCAATAGGACAGGACAACACAATAAAGTATTTGATCTTCTGTTTGATATACCTTCAACTGAGTTCAACTTGGTGATGTACACAGGACATGTGAGGGAGGTTCTTGACAGTTAACAAAGTTGCTCCTAGAGGATCAAGGCCGGAGCGGGCTCCCCCGTGTGTTCGAACCTCTATTTTTGGACTAGAATGCATTAATAGTATGTTTGTTGTGTAATTCTCACGTTGTTAACTCAATGCAAATACAAACGAATTTACTTCCACTGTTGACAAAAGCAATCAAGTCACATCTACTAATACTAATTTGTTCAAAGTACCATAACTAATTTAAATTCATATTTTACATCAAGCACCCCTCAAAAGGATAATAAACGTACAAAAGATATTAGCGTTCACATATCCATTACACTTACAGAACACGAGAGATTACAGAGAGGTGGACCATTAATAACATTAATCCGATCATATTAATAATACCCAATTGCTACTTAGTTATCTAAAGGCAGGAACAACTTAACCAAGAATAAATCAAAATAATTCCCCACGTTGTTCCAAGGACCGATTGTGACCATGACTTCATATGACTTGTCACCAATCAAGTTGAGAAGTGTAAGATAGTCGGCATTGTCAATCTCAGAAGGACTGACTACAGAAGAAATGATTCTCCGTAAGTATGATGATGGGAACACGACCTCAACATCACAAATGTCATCTTCAATGGTCAAGTGAATCAAGTATACTCTCGATGCATCACACCAAGATCTCGTCAGCTCTGTTACAACGCCAGAGAAAATGTACGAAGTGCCCTGATATAATGCAGAAGATGATGATTTGCAAAAAAATAAACAAATCAGATGCAAATCAATCACAGAAGAGATAGAGAAGGATAGATAACAAGCGTCTTATCTTACTCACCTGATCATCACCATCCAATTGCTTTGGGATTAGATCTAAAGTTTCAACCCTCTCAGACATTGCCACGGCATTTTGATAATTTAGATTCGTAACAAAATCATCTCCAAGGGTAAAAAACCTATAATTTAGATTATTAGCAATTGTATTAAGTAGTTATGAGAACACAAGAATATGGTTTATTATGAGTTGGTTGGGAAACCATTACTTACGGGTTCCATTCAGGTATGTTGTCCATCTCAAATATATGTCACACTGATTTCCTTCTGCTCAACCTCTATTTTTGGAAGTATCTGCCATTATCAAAAGAGGATATTGTTCCGACACTAATCAAATAATCATGTACAAATGAAGAGAAGACACATCTTAGGCATCAGAAACAAAGACATGCAAGGCAAAATCAAAATAAAAGAAGGTTCGAAAGTAGAAATACTAGCTGAACAGCATATGAAAGAAAGAAGGCCTCAGTCCTTCACATTCAACTCATAGTCAGGGTTGCTGGTATTCTTCTCATTTCTAAACAAATTATAGCCAATGAAAAGAGCAAGCTGAAGCCATTTAGCAGCTCATAATCTTCAATATCTGATACCTATTCAATATCATATTCACTTTAGAAAACATAGCTTACTGCAGGGCGCCACCATCAAGGAATGCAGACACAGTAGTAAACTAGAGGGGAAAGCGAGAAACCTGGTGAAGTTCAGCAGGATAAACTAATCCCGCAAGTTACTGGAATCGGGAGGTCTCCAGTGCTTCTTCTCAACTGCTGTTTTCCTTTGCTAAAGGAAGCCGAAATCAATTCCCCTGTTCCATAAACACGTCGTCTACAAGTTCGCTCGGAACTTCAATAAAGCAAACACGAAGCTCGAAGAAGAGAATAGTGTGCAAACTTCTAATGGCGGCGAGGAATCGCAAAGCGTTTCAAACACCAGGCCGTTGCCCAATCGACTAAGAATTATCTGAGAGCAGAAGGAGGCGTACCCAAAGGAGCGGAGGACGCGATTATCGCCAACCTGTTGATGAGTGGAAAGAAAATATAAATGTGAGATGCTGGAAAAATCTTGAGAATCAACTCTTGGGGATGAGAATAATGTGGGTCAGGCAGATAGGAGGACAGCCAAACCCGACCATGCAATGAACCAGTCCGATTGATGTCTTCGCCGGGAACGGAACAGAGGCGCCGAAGGGAAGAGGAAGAGGAAGCAGAAACGTTTTCGTGATCCTTTTTGGTTTTGTTATTTTTTTTATGCAAACGTTTTGGCCGGCCAAAACCCAACTAATGGGCCTATATCAACAGCCCAAACTTACAACTAGCCGGCCAACGGGAGAACGAGCCTGCTGCACTGTTGGGCCTATTCGGTGGTAGTAATGTTGGTTGTTTCTGATCTCAAGCCCTCAACTGCAAAAAAAGTCTTCAATTCGTCTACTCGTCGGGCCCTAATTAGACAGAACTCTTGGCCGACTTCGATGGAATGGGGCACGAGAAAGTCCAGTTATGGTTTGGTGTTTCCTAATGGACACCGCTACTATTATTATATAGGTAAGTGAATGTGTGTTCTTATCCATTTGTCGATGTGGTAGAAATAGAGAATAATCTTCTTCCATGTCCATCCAATTAGCTTCTTGTCTCCTTTTCCTTCGAATTGGTCCTTGCAGGTTGTGAAAGGGTTTCTCTTTCCTGCCAGTTTAGTGTACGGTATCATCCTTTTGGGGTTGGAATTAACGGAGAAGTACTCTTTAGCAAATCATCAATTATGTCGTCAATCTGGGTCTGACAAAAGAGTAATCACTTACCTTCGACCTTTTTTTATAGTTTACTAAGTCATGGTCTCATGGAGAATGATTTTACATGGATTGGGTAAGTGATATTGGCTGAAGATTTTAACTAATAAGAAGGCCTTCACTATTCTTATCAGCTCAAGTGCCATTCTTATAGGTTGTGGTCTACGCCTTTATATATGGTGCCCAATTAGACATTTACAAAAAAATTACAACCTCTAAGGCAATAAAATATGGACATAGAATTATATAATTGGTAATTGAACCCTAAACCCTAAACTCCAAACCCTGAACCCTATACCCTAAACCCTGAACCCTATACCCTGAACCCTGATCCCTATACCCTAAACCCTAAACCTTATACCCTGAACCCTGAACCCTGAACCCTATACCCTGAACCCTGATCCCTATACCCTAAACCCTAAACCTTATACCCTGAACCCTGAACCCTGAACCCTAAACCCTAAACCCTATATCTCCGCACGATTAGTTCTCATAGTAGCATAACACATGCAAACGAGTCATATTCAATGGGTTGACTTTTAGTTGACTTCTGTCTATCGTTCTTTCTCAATAACGTAAAAATGGCTAATATTTTGATGCATCATGAAATATTTGGATAATTAATAGAATTTTAATAGGTTTGTAATTTTGTGCCCAATTTGAACATTTTATGAGCTTAACTCGATTTTGGGTACTTGTAATGAGCTTATCGGCCGACTTTGAGTAATCTTTGAGATCGAAATATGTGAAGACATATGTTCTCTTTGTTATACCCTCTTGTCATACACTGCACCCTATACACTGAACCCTAAACCCTAAACCCTATACCCTGAACCCTAAACCCTGAACCCTAAACCCTATACCCTGAACCATATACCATGAACCGTAAACCCTAAACTCTAAACCCTATACCCTAAACCCTAAACCATAAACCCTATACCATGAACCCTAAACCCTAAACCCTTGTTTATATGAGCGGTAACTTTAAACAATTTTATAGATACTTAAATTGAGGACATAGGTTTATAATTTGAAAAAAAATAAAGAAACAATGAATATAAAATTTCATTCCCCCAAACTATCCCGCCAGTTTTTTGTTTTGGATTTTCCCAAACTTTGAACCAAATAAAAAGATTTTCCCACCATATCATGAATTTATTAATTTATGCAGCTTTGAAATAGGAAAGGCTAATTAAAACACAAAGAAAAAAAAAAAAAAGGAAAGGCTTGACAGGCTGGAACACGATGTCGTACAGGACAATAGAATTAGGGTAACTCTACCTTCCTCATTCGCATCCTTCATTCTTCCTCAGATCCACCCATTTCCTCACCATCGTTCCAGTGAAAAGGATAACGAAACAGCACGAAAATCCCAAATCCTACCCTAAAAAAACGACAATCCAACGATGGAGCTCCAAACAGAACCGCGACGGAACCCTGTTTTTATCCGCCAAAACAAAATTTCATTTCTTTGCAACCCTTCCCATCCCACTGAAACAGAATAGCATAGTTTCATTCTCTCTTTCCATTAATCGTTTGATGTTCCTGGGAAATCTGGTCGATTTGGGGTCTTCGAAGCTGGCCCACTTTGCCGGCGGCCGAAGGTGTGGCCTTGTCGATGAGCACGCGGAGCTTCAGATATACGATTTCTGGGATATATGGCGCATGCATATTGCATAATGAATCACTCGAAGAAGGTAGGCTTCCGAATCTCTGCACTTCCCTCGCCCCGATTCGGCTTTGATTCACTGAAACGGCGATTGGTCCAGGTTCATGCTCTGGTAGCGAGCAACGAAACGGTGATTGAAGCTGGGATCGGAGATGAGGGAGCTCCACAGCTTGCAGATGGGTTTGTAGAGGAAGGCGGATCTGGGATTGTGGAGGGGAATCAGAATCTCGACGAGGAGGCCGTCTCCGAGTTTGCTGATGGCGGAAGGAGGGTGTAGTGAACTTCTGAGAACTGGGTTTCTATTGCCGCCGCCGCTCCTATCGGTGACAACGGCTCCTCCTCCATCTCCACCGCTTCGCCGTTACAGCCAGGTAAAGTTTGGTTCTTGGTCTCTGCTTTCGCTTGTTTTTCTCTGATGGATTCTGAGAACTGGGTTTCTGTTGCAGTTGGGAGCCGGGTTGGAGAAGTGAGGAAACTCACCAAAGAGACCAATGTTTCTGTGAAAATTAACTTGGATGGTACTGGGGTTGCTGACTCGTCCACGGGAATCCCATTTCTCGATCACATGTTAGATGTTAGTGAACTTCTGGAAATCACTTTGCAGCTCTGGAACTTCCCTTTTCAATTTGGTCGACTACTCGATTTTCTTTTGCCCTGGATTTGATATATGATATTTCCCGCTTTTCGATCGATTGATTGTAGCAACTTGCGTCGCATGGGCTGTTTGATGTACATGTGAGGGCAACTGGTGACATTCATATTGATGACCATCACACCAATGAAGATGTTGCTCTTGCTACTGGATCGGTCAGTACTTCCAGTTACCTTCCCCTTTTCATTTCTCAGTCTTCTGCCTTGATATAGCTCACCACTTGTAACTCGCCTCCATGGATTATTGATTGAGGATTTTGAGAGCTATCAGCAAAGAGAGCTAGGGAATTGGTCAGGCAAAAACAAGCAAAAGTGCTTTCTCTGAGGTATTATATGGTAGTGTATTTATATTTAGCAGAGTTTTGTGCCAAATAACTTGGTGTAGTTCCTTCGTTACTTATACTATGTTGCTTTGTCCTTTTCTGCAATATTCAGCTGCAAGAGGAAGCTGTCATTACTCTTCAATGTTTGGGGAAATTTGGAGATGGGGCATTTGAGGATATCTTTACAACGAATGTTGACTTTTCTTCTAAATATGATCATTACATAAGGTATGATTGAATATATAGCTTAATTATAAAAAAAGAAATTATTGTAGCTCTCAATCAAGTACCGTGTCCCTAGTTTATGTAAATGGATTATGTACACTGGAAGGTGGATGAAATGCATAAATTCAGCATAACAATGTTTTCAAAGCCTAACATAGGTTTTGTTCTTTCAATGATCTTCTTATTAACTCATCGACTGCTTTGGTACCATTATTGTGCATTCTTGACTCCTGTCTTGTTTCAGGTTGAACTTAAAGGGAAGCAAGGAGGTCTATTCTTCTGGATTTTGTTTGGATGATGAATGTTGGAGATTGTACGAGAAACAGGTGCATGATCTTCTGAGTCAAGGTTTGGGAGATAGGACAAAGTCTGTTCGTGTAATTTGGAGAAACAGTTCTTCAGGGTGGATCAGCTTGATTTCTCTTTGCTTCATGGTGGCACAGGTATTATAACTAGTATCAACTACTTTTTCATGTCAATTTCCATTTTTCCGTCTCTTACGAATTTCGACTCATCTCAGATCCAGTATCATTCTTTCCAAATTTGCTTGGGACATTTGAGGTTCTAGTAAGGCGCCTGCGCTCTATTGAAGATGTTCCGTTGAAGATATCTCACGTACAACCTTTAGACCCAGGTACTGTCTGAATTGTCAGGTGGTTAGATGAGATTAGTACTCCTATCGGATGCTACTTTCTTGGTATGCCCTGGGCACAGTTGCAAATCAGGTTGCAACTTCTGTGAAATGTGACTGAATTTCATTGGTTGCTTTTCGTAGATTTCTGTGTTTCTTTCACTCGACTCCAGGGAAGCTTGATGATTGCTCATCTACCAATCATGAAGAATCTGGTGACTATTCTATTCCAAGTTATTTATTTTGACAGAGTTGCTGAATTTCAAGATAGCTAAATGAAGTAGTCTTGAAATAGACTTCTGCTTGATTCGCCACGAGGTTCAGTGGCACATTTTAAGGACTCTATCCTTTCAATGCCTGCAGAAATTTTCATAGTGGAAGGTGATTCAGCTGGTGGAAGTGCTGAGCAGGGCCGGGATAGGCGCTTTTCAGGTAATTGGATCCATTCTTAGTTTAATCGATGAGCGTGTGAATGGCGGTGAAGCAATGTTGTGGTCTGCTTTGTTTAATTGGGGATTGGGCATTTCTGATTCATGTCCCTTCATGTTCTGAAAAATGACGTCTGCATTACTCATTAGGGTGCTAAATTATCTTTAAATCATACCGTCGAGCACAGTTAACGGGATTTTTTGTAAACTTCTTGTACAGAGGGCATTATTTGATGAAGGTTGCATTTATGTTGGTGTGCCTCTGCTTTACAAGGTACACTCTCTTTGGAAATTCACAAAGTGAATTAATTTGTCTCGATTGAGGATTGACTGAGAAGTGAGAACCATGAACCTGTCGATGTATTTGGATGTTGCAGATTCTTCTACATTGCCCTATGGCTGGAGTCGCTATGCACAATTCAGCTTGGCTGTGGTGAATCAAATTCACAACAAGTACTCAATCAGAAAAGGTACGTTTCTGGTTCTGATAGACAGTGCCTTGGTTTTTTGCTTTATATGGTTTTTGTTTTAATAACCAACCATATGCATATCAATCTCAGGCACCTCGAAGAGAAGATGAAGAAGACAACAAAGTTAAAATCAAAGGGGTCTTGCAAAAAAATGCACGAGGTATGTCCTTGAATAACTAAGAACTCATTTCCAACTCTCTATGTTCGTCAAACCACAAAAAAAAAAAACCGTCAAAGGCTGCAATTGTTGTAAATCAACGAAGCTAAAATATTCTGTCCCATCAATTTCAATGAACAAATAACAAAAACTGAGTGCTTTTCAACTCCTTGCTCTGGATGTTGTTCAACTTCTTGCCCTGTCTGTGTTGTTCAACTTCTTGCCATGTCCCCTCTTCTGAAACATAAAAAACAAGATAAAAGAACATTGAAACTGTCAATTTTTTAGCAAAGGTTCTCACATAATATATACATTAGGATGCATTAGATTATTTTCACTAAAAAAACCTGTTGGGTCCTCTCAGATTGGCGTTCAGAACATTGAGCAGAAGGCTCCACACTAGGTTCTGTATGCTTATTGGATTTCCCTTGCTGCTGATGTGTCATAGTACTACTCCTAGTACGTGGCCCAGTCTGTTACAAGAGTAGGAATTAAACTCTTAAGTTGATAGCTACTTGTACCAAATAGAATAAAATTTAGAAAGAAAGTGTTGTATAACCTTATGTCGCTTCGGTATGTTTTCCGTAGGCTCTACATCAGCATCGTGGTTGCTAGTTCGTTGATTCTGATATAACCATTACGAAAACACTTAGTTTTTAAGAACTATTAATTCTGATAAAAACTCAAATATGTTTTACCAATTACCTTTTGGGGCCGACCACTTTGGTCATCGTCATCATCTCCATCATCACCTCCCTCATCACCTCCATCATTGTCCGCAAAATCCAGATCATCGTCGTCATCCTCTTCATCAGACGAAGATTCTCTAGCTGGCGGCACGTAGCCTTCGGGTTCAGGACAAGTCTTAATATAATGACCGTTCCTTCTACCGCATCTCCCACACTTCCTCTTCTTTTTCTTCTGTTGTTTTTTTGCCTTTCCTTTTCTACATCCCTTGAACAACACTTTTTTGGGATTGAGGACTCTTTCGAACTCCTTAGGTATTATCATCGATTCCCTTTCAGCCGGAGTTGTTCTCATCATTTCCAACTTGTCCCTCACTGCTGTCAACCCCCCTCGAGCAACCTGGAAAGATAGAGGAGTCTCTGCCCCCAATAGGAAAATATGTGTAGCCAAGAACTGGAGTGACCCATATCTGGTGTTGAAAGAATGATCATCCCCCAACTTAGGTGGCGGTGGCATACTGTCTATTGACTTAGGGTTCTTTGAGCAACCTTTAAGTACCAGTTTCTCAGGAAGACTTTTCACCCGTTCTTCTTTCAACACACAGAGCATATGAGTGCAGGGAATTCCAACACTGTTAAATTTTTTACAGCTGCACTCCATATCCTTTGTTTCAAGGTTGTATTTTACCTCCACAACCTTCTGTTTGTTGAACATACTTAAACTGTAGGTGTGTATGTTTCCATCCTCAGATTGAGTGTTCTTTATGCACCCAATAACCTGCTCTAGTTCACTTCTGAATTTAAGAAATGCAGCTTTCGAGAACAACTTAACTGCACTTTCCTCAAGGGGTCTAAGCATGGTGCTCTTTAGCGGGGTTAAACCATAATTAGATTTAAAATCTAATTTGATCTCTGTTTCCCTCAAATCCCTACACCAACGATCATACTGAATGAAAAAGTCAAGCAAACAGTGTCTCTCCTCCAAATATCTTCCAACAAATGAATTTATACCTTCATTTCTTGATGTGGTTGTCAGCCCGGCAAAGTAGTGGGAGCGCAAGTATGTGTCCGCCCATTCTCCGCGTCTCCCAAATAAATTTGTAGTCACCCATTGGTTGTTCTGTAGACCACATTTTTCCACTAATTCCTTCCATTTCTCTTCAAATTCTTCTTCCTCATAATCAGCAGTTACAAATTTGCTCCATTGGGGTTCGAAGTCTGGGCTATTCTTCACCTTGCCCTTGATATTCTTTGAAAGATGCCACGCACAAAGCCGGTGTGTTGCATCTGGAAACACAGTAGCAATGGCATTCCTCATTGCTTTATCCCCATCTGTTACAACTGTATGCAAGTCCTTTCCACCCAACATTTCCTTCAATATCTCCAAAGCCCACTTGTAGCTCCCTTCAGTCTCATTAGCTAACAGTGCACTCCCAAATAAGCAACTCGTGAAATGATGGTTGATACCTGAAATAGCAAGTGCTTCTCAACTTTTTTACGGATTAGAAAATTGAATATACGAACCAAAATTAGCACTAAGGTGTGTACCTGTGAAAATAACAAGAGGCATATTGTAAATATTTTTTTTGTATGTCGTGTCAAATGCGAGCAACTCTCCAAAGCACGAGAGGTCAGCTATGCTCATACTGTCTGCCCAGAATAAACTGTGGAGCCTATTTTCCTCGTCAGTAGTGTACCGGAGGATGAACTGCGTGTCCGTACTTTTCTTCGATTCTAGATAGGCCAGTGCGGCTGCCGCATCACTAGGACATAGCCTTTCATTGCGATCTCGAGTGCTGAAATTCATCCCATCTTTTACTGTGTACCCAACTTTGTCATGTCCTCCAGCATTATGCACATCAAGCTTTATGATTTGAGAAGGTTTCATACCTGCATTCTTCTTAAATCTAAAGTCTGCCTTGTCAGCCTCTGTTAACCCTCGTTGTGATCTTAGGTGATGAGTACAATGCCGATTAATTGGCATATGATTGTGATCTTCTTTAAATATATCCACTATCCATTTTGAATCATTCTTGTTAAATGCCACACGCATTTTTGCTTGACAACCAAATTTGGTCTCCATGGGGGAGTCTCTCTTCTTCTCCCCTTTGTTGGGGGCTCTATGTCCCTCACAAGAACAAACGAAAGCTCCATTAGTAACCTCTCCCTTGCTGTTCCGAACTTTCTTTGAGCGCCTAACAGAGAATCCCCAAGCCCTTGCATAATCATTGTAGAAGTTGTAAGCTTCTTCAAAGTCATTAAATATCTGGCCGATTTTAGGAGGATCTAAAATCACATCTTCCATCCCAGTCGTTTCTCCATTCAGAATGCCAATGTCGGTTTCTCCTGTTTCCTCTAAAATCTCAAGGTCATCTTCGATGGGACTGTTACGAGGATGTTCTTCTTCTTCCATCGATAACCTTCTTTGGTTTAGGGTCTCGGCAGGGTGGGATAATGACTTTAGGTGGTTGTAGAGGGTTGGAGGCGGCTGAACGTGTATGTACGTTCTCAGATTATGCCCAACCTGCTGTAGGAAACCTATTTTTACCCCTCTGTTGTTTTGTCTATGTTAAGATTCATTTATTTTTTTATTTATTTGTCTCTCTCCTCACCGATCTGCTTCCTCTCAAAACCGGAAAATCTTCATCCTTCTGTGTTCTGTACAGAGGAAAAAACGTGTAAATTGAATTCGATTAATAAACAAATAGATGATGATAAAAGAATTTTCTAAGTTTAATTAATGATAAAAGATTTTCCTGTATAGCTTTAATAGAATTTTATAAGTTGACTTAATAAGGTAGATAATTATAACACTTACCATAAAGAGAAAAACACTCTACATCCCCCTTTATTAAGACGTGTGAAACCCCTTTTTCAGGAATACCCAGTTCTGTTCTGTACCGTTCTGTGAAGCTGGAACAGAAGAGGACCATGGAAAAGCAAGGGTAAGTAAATTATATACACAAGGAAGAAAGCCAGCATCGTAATGTCTATCTTTCTTCTAAATTCCTCTTTTGTTATGATTTCTTTTTTATCTCAGGGACAAGAACAAGATGAAGCATGTTGTGGACAGCGGGGTAATGACAAGATCAAAGGCGCGGTCGTCCGATTTAATGGTATGTCAGTTTACATGTTTTCATATCTCCATCGTTGGCAGCTTATTTTTCGTTAAAAACTAAAGAACGACGATTGTTGTTGTACTATGAACGTAGGAGCTGGAGAAGGATGTATCTCCAGTAAAGAAAGCTAGAACTGAAGACGGTGCGATCCCTCCATCGACGCCGGGATTAAATACGATTGTTCTTGATGGTGAATCGAGGGGAGATGGCAATGCTTTAGTCTGGAAAAGTCGTACCAGATTATCTACCCTGCAATTCACCGATAAGGTATTTCTACCCTTCTCTCGTATTTTCTGCTTCGGTTCTCTTTTCCGGCACTTGTTTCTTTGTGTTTTGCTTCCCAATCGATAGTGGCGAAGTTATCTGTGTAAACTTTCTCTTATTTGGATTCAACACCTGCACCAAGCTTCTTCGTCTCTTTCGGCAAGAACAGCAGAACCAATTTTTTTACCTAGAGTTTTTGTTTGATCGGAATGACCAGGAAGGATTTCTTCTTTTGGTGTTTGAGCAGCCGATAGCTTAGACCCAAAGCTTAGCCTTGGAAGAATTGGGCCGAGACCCAAATCTTAGCCTTGGAAGAATTGGGCCGAGACCCAAAGTTATTTTATATTTTTTTACGGGTCTGTTGGTTGAATTTGATTCACCATGTTTTGTGCTATAGTTGCTTGAGAGAGATTCAGGGCCTCGTATTAGTGTGTTTCTTCACTACTGAAGTGATTTAAATGGCAGTATGTCTCAGTAGCCAACCTTGAACAAGTTGCGCTCTTTATGTGACGATTACGAATGACGATTACATTAAAATTAGGGCGATAATTAGCAATCCGCTCTAATCCACCCCACTAATATTTTTCTGCCTTAAAACGGAATCAGTGGTTATATTTTTATCGAACCCGCTAATATTCTTTCATCTTCCATTGCAGGCAGAAACTAAGTTTAGGCTGCCTCACGCTGTCAACTACAGTGAGGAGGAAATCAAACTTGCTCACTACATCTTTGCAGCTGACCTTCCGCTAAAAGAGGTCCTAGTCGATACCATGATGAAATCCTATACGCGAAAGGCGCTATGGTCCCTCTGCCCTAACTCCAATGTTGATGCTGATGTAAGTTTTAATCCTGGCCTACTGTTACTAATCAGGATGTTGAACTGGCATAATACCAATCTCCTAAAATTTGTATACCCTGGTTGGTTGGTGTGTTAGGTAATTACAGCAATGACTTGCCACTTGACCCTGGACGAGATTACGAGAGATGCTGGCCGTGGGAGAAGAGTATGTTTTCTGCCTTCTGAACTGCAGGTACATATTGATTTACCTTGTACATGTATTTTAGGTGAAATATACTGTTTGTCCTATGGTATATAATAAACGTGTAATTCTGCTAATTTAATCAAATCATGATTAGGAAATGGTACTTAACTATGGCATGACACCGAAAAAGGCTTTAGAGTGTTACGGTACAAAGTTTCTCACAACAGCTCACACCTGCAGAAAGGTTTTCTTCTCCAATCAACCTATTTAACTTTTTCATATATGAAATGTCAAATATGGTTTACTGATGTTAGTATTTCTTGTCGTAATGTAGTTGTGTCTGCCAATGAAGGATATCATGTATGGTGATGAAATTCATTGGTATTTAGTAGTCATCTTGATGGATGACAAGCAAGTTCATATCTTGGATTCATATCCTTCTAAAGAGCGCCAAACACCTCGCAAAGATGCAGTACAAACTATGGTATGGTCAGAATTTGTGTGTGGAATATGATTATATTTGTGAAGAAATTATTGTTCTCTTCTATTTGTAATAAAGTTACTCCTTATGTAGATTGGATTTCTCGATGCCTTGTTCGAGGATCTTTATTTACAAGTGGAACAAATGTGCGATCCCCCAGTGATGAAGGAGTTCTCTTTGACAATTCCTTCAGTTCCTGAACAACGTCACGAGTAAGAATCATTCCTCATGCATAAATTCGAAAACATACTCACAACTGATCATATGCTTCATCTAAATTTATGTAGGTATGACAGTGGCGTTTGGGTGTGCGTATGGATGATGGGTGCAACTTGGGATGAAGATTATTTTATATGGGTAAGCAACAATTCACTTGCTTGAACTTGTAGTTAAACAACCTAGTGAATTTGCTATTGAGATCCATTGTCTTTGTGAAATATTTTCAGCCATGTGGAGATATGAGGAGAATGCAACTAGCTTTGTATCTAGTTAAACAACCTGCAAATTATATAAGACATGTGGTCATCAAGGAAGCAAATAGGAATGCACAGAGGTTTGAACTCGAGACTCGTACGTACAAGGAAGAAAATCGAAAGAGGCTGAACAAGAACTAGAGCTATATGGAGATTGTGCGTCCATGATTTTGTAATTTAAGCTTGCTTTTTTGATTCAAGGACTTGTTCGTTATATGTTTCACTACATTTCATTAGATTAACGGTTGCATTTCTGTTGGGTATTTTGGGTGAACAAATTTCAGTTTACATTATCATGGGATTCGGTTCTTTTCGTTCAATGTTGAACTTGGTTGTTTGTTGAACTAGCTAGTTTATGGTTGTTTGTTGAACTAGTTAAATCTAAAGTACTACTACAAGCAGACTGCACGTTATTGTTTCCCAAGCAGATCAGTTCTAAGGAATGTTTTATTTTGAACACCAACTGTTCTATGGATTGGTTGTGGATTTCTTTCCAATGTAGCGGTTGTGCAGTCCACGGTCTCGCCTTCTTGCTCAGATGTAGTGCCTGGGCCAGACTGCTGAATACACTGAAACTGAAATAATAATCCCAGTCCATCAAATTCACAAACAAACCATGTGGCGACTAACGATTATCAATCTACTCAAAAAGGTTTGAAAGAGAAAGGATATGAACCTGTTCCACGTTAACAGCTTAAAGATTGATGCATTACTTAAGTTTGTGATAATATGTTCAGAATCCTCTACTTAAACCGTATTACCCCCCAATTTCCCTAGTTTTCATTATGAATTTGCCTCTTCCCCAACACCCTCCACGAGAACCCCAAAGGAAAAGAGGAAGAAAATAAATCTCCACCTTAATTGCAATTATACAGGTACGAAATAATCAACACCACTCCAAGCTTGGAAATTTTCTTATTACAACTAAGTGACAAAACAAATTGAGCCAGAGAGTGCTGCTCAATGGAATTATCACAAGCTCAAGGATTTACAGATTCAATGTTATAAATCCATACCAGACCATGTATGGACACCAGTCACATCCAAGCTCCCTAGGCCTCAGTCTTCCAGTCACATCCAAGCTCGATCAAATCTTTTCACCAGCCCTTCCACTTTTGCAGAACTCGTCAAAATTAGACAACAAGTTCAACTGATTCTCATAAGCATCAACTCAGATAGCCTTTCGGCGGCGGCCTGCAAGATGACAGTCACTCAGTGATTGCCAATTTAACTTTCCCATGAGCATTTTTTGATTACCCTTCCTCATGTCTGACCTCCGCACCGCCATCTCCATCGATTTCGTCTGCAGGTGTTTCCAGTATAGAGTTTTTCGTCGATCAGCCCTTACCCCCATCTCTCGAATATGCGATTTTCACTATGCAATAGATAGCGATGGCGCCCGACAAAATCCAGACCTCGGCTATTGAAGTCAATTTGGTAGGAGAATTGATTCGATGGTGAAAAGAGGATAGGGTTCGTCCGTGAGAATAATCCAGAGCTCGGCTATTGAAGTCAATTTGGTAGGAGAATTGATTCGATGGTGAAAAGAGGATAGGGTTCGTCCGTGAGAATGAAGGGGATATGGGAAAGGGTTTTTTTGGAGTTGTACGACATGGTGGTTCTGACTTCTGTGTTTACATCTATCAACTAATCAATAGTTTGATCGGTTAATTAGATAGAAGAATATTAGGCATGATAATATGGAAAGATACGAAAATTTTGTATAGGGACTAAAGAGCACGTATTAAAAAGTAATAGAACCAATCAATTATTATAGAATCGTAATTAATAAATAATTTAATTAGAATTAATAACAGACGTTAGATTAAATCAACGGTGTAGAGAACATGGAGCATGCTATGCGTCTGGAGCGTACGAGTCTGAACCATATATATATATATATATATATATATATAAAAGTGTACATGAACTTTTTTTTGTATAACACTTTCAAAATATGCAAAATTAATTGATAATAAGTTTAATGAATTTACTTAATCTAATAAGTTTATTTATCTTAAATTATAATTACAAATACAAATATAATGTCTCACAACTCACACAAAAGAGGAATGAAAAAAGAAAACACTTAAAGTGGAATGAGACCCAACCGGTACCCACTATCAATTTCATTTGCTCTTCCATTAAATGGAAGCTGTCATTATATAAAAGAGGGGCTGCAACCAAGAAATACTGAAATAAGCGGCACCCCATGCCACGTCACAATGAAAGGAAGGAAAGACAAGCGCTGCGATGGCTCTAACAGATGTAATTCAACAGATTTTTTGTATCTCGCTAGAATTTTGTATGTACACAAAAAGCTTCATATAACATATATCTATTCTCTAAAAAAAAAAAATTTCGATAGGGATAGGAAGGTTAAATCCCTATTAATGTATAGTAAAATCTAATATAATTTCCAAAACTTAATCCTTCCCGATAATTTGATGTCCCTCAATCGCGAACTTAACAGCAATCGGGCTAGTGACATTGTGATCACTAGAAACCCACCTGAGATACCCTTGATCCGAAGGTCTGCTGTACTTTCCTCTTCTTCTAAACATCACCGAAAATCTCACCTTCTGATTCACCTCAGTGAAACCAATTTCACAAGGTGTCACCTTGACATCAACTCCTTGTAGCCCAAGGATTTCACATTTGTAACCCGACTTAGCAGCTCCCACATTCGTCACTGTCCTCGTGTAACTCTGTGGGTTATCCGAGCTCAGCGTGATCGAAAACGACGGGTAGTTTAGCTCTGCTTCAGCTGTGCTCGAGTAATTCTTCTCGCAACTCACTTTCCGCTGCACAATTGCCTCAACATTGTAACCAAGTCCGCACAGGTACGAAATGTAGTCATCAGGCTGCAGATCGTACACAAGACCGGGATCATTCGCCTTATTCGGGTTCACCTGACCCGACCCAGTAGCAAACAGATCCGCCTCCACGAAGTGCTGATCGGTTATCCGACCGCCAGCGAGACTAGTCCGGTCAGCAGTGGTCATGATGGCCGATTTGATCGCCGCAGGAGACCAGTCAGGGTGCGAGCTTTTGAGCAGCGCTGCAATCCCGGCCAGATGTGGACACGACATTGAGGTTCCGGAGATGACGTTGAACGTCGACTTGGTCTTGTTGTTGCCATCCTTGGATGTCGGCCAGGCAGCTAGAACGAGAACTCCAGGACCTAAGATGTCAGGTTTCAGGATTCCGGGGCTGGCAGAGTTAGGCCCGCGAGACGAAAAGACCGCAACTTGGGGAGCGTAAGGCAAGCCAAGGACAGTTCCTTGGAATGTTATTTTAGCCGTTGGCGGCGAAGACAATGGAGAAGAAATCGATGAGTTGATGTAGCTTTTGACAAGCTCGCCGTCGGCGAAGCTAATGTATGAAGCTGGCAGGACGTGGAGCTCTGGCTCCGGGACATCTTCCTTGGAAGGATTGCTGACCAGGATCATCGCAGCTCCACCAGCATCCTTCACTGCCTGCCCTTGTTCAACTACGCCAAAGTAATCGTAGTTATCGCACAACACCACTTTGCCCTTGACATCGTGCTTGCTCAGATTGCGGCAGACGGCCGACGCGGCACTGCCGTTGATCCCGGGGTAAACAAGCGGCAACAGAGTGGGAGAAGAAGAAAAAACAGAGTTTTTAGGCTGGAAATAGGACTCCCCGTGGATCTTAGTTTTATTATTGGCTAGTGTCACTGTAGCTCTCACGCTTCTATCCACTGTGCTAGCCCCCACGGTTAGTATCCATGGAGCCCCATTCGACAACGACGAAAAGCTCGGACCGTTGTTCCCAGCCGAGCAGGTTACGAAGACGCCCTTCTGAATCGCGCCAAATGCACCTACAGCGATGGAGTCCTGATGGAAAGGAAACGAACCGTAGCCGAGGGAAAGCGAGAGGACGTCGACTCCATCGGCCACCGCAGCATCCATTCCAGCCAGGACGTCACTCTCTTTGCAATCACCTGTCGCGGAACAGACTTTGTACACCGCCAAGTGAGCTCTAGGCGCCATTCCTGCAGCGGTCCCGTTGACCTGACCGTAGAAGCTGGCGCCTCGGACCGAGGCGCCAGCAGCTGTGGATGATGTGTGAGTCCCGTGGCCATTGTCGTCGAATGGCTGGCTAGCCGTTGGGACGAAGTTTCGGGCACCGATCAACTTGTTGTTGCAAGACATCGAAGACGAGGCGTTGATGAATTCGCATCTCCCTTTCCACTTGGCTGGTGGAGGTGGCATTCCTTCATCGGAGAAGGAAGGGTGATCGGGAGACACCCCGGTGTCTATCACTCCGATGATCGTTCCTCGACCGTAGTTGGAGCGTGGCCAGAGGCCGGAGTTGTGATGGAGGCCTAGGAAGTCGGGAGTGTGCGTTGTGTGGAGCTGGAGTGTCCTCTCCGGCCAGGTCGAGACGAACCCTGGTTTCGACTCCATGGCTCTGGCTTCTGCAGGGGTTACTCTGGCAGCGAAGCCCGTAACGATGTTCCTGTAGGAATGAACTAGAGTTCGTGGCGCGGGCTGGTGTGTTGATGATGAGCTTGTTGAGATGGTGGACTCTGGCAGAAATGACTTGTACCATGCGTCTACATCTTCTGGGGTTTGTGTACTGAGAGTGCCTCCTTGTGGTTTGCTTACAAAGACAATGTATGTCTCCAAATCGGTGGTCGATTGGATTGCGTTGAACCCGAACATGAGCAGGAGGAGGAGGAAGAGGAGGGACATGAATGAATTGGCTGGCGACATTTTTGTGTGCATGGTGTGGATGGTTGATGGAGTACAAAGCATTAAGCATGTGTTAAGGATATATAGAGTCCCCTGAAGTTTAGCAGTTTTGGGGGGTAATGGTTGGATTTTCTGCTTCAAATTCGGCCATGAGTTTGTTGCCGCCTGGAATCAATGAGGTGCTGGACGGCTGGAGATGCGCTTGGACAGGAGAAAGGCGAAATTTGACATGGCCAAACTAACTTCTTTAGTGCTAATATAATATGACGATGTTTAGAAAGCTGTTTGTTTTTGTTCAAACGTTGGAACGGTACAAAAACTGTCTTGTTGTCTTACAAGGTCACTAGGTCGAGCCGAGTCATGATATGAGTCACCTGCTGCTATATGCATGCTTCAAAGAATTGCAAAAAAACATGTGTCATTACTCATTAGATAACAAAAAAAAAAAAAGGGCATGATGGCGTACAGGGGCGGACCCAAGGGGTTTGGGGTGTCCCGGGACACTCCTAAATTTTGGTAAAATGATTATCCAATTTCCGGTGGTAGTTTACGTACGAACAAAAAATTATAATTGAGAGTGAGAGACATCCCTGAAATTTGAAAAAATGTATCATACTCTCATTTTTTTAGTTTGTGTATGAGAATATAAGTGGTAGTGTGGACAATTCAAACCTAGGACACTACTACTATTAATAAAGATTATTTTCATTAGGCTACAACTCATTTATTGTTCGATTTTAAACATTGTGTAATAGTAAATTGACATTTCATATCTCTAATTATTTTCAAAACCTAACAATTAAACTAATTTCAAGCTACTCATAATTTGTTTTGATTTTATTGTTGTAAGACAAGTGTTGAAAGAGTTTTCGACTTTGGGTTGCATCAATAACAAGTTTAAGAATCAAATATGCGATAAGTTCGTGAATAATTATCTAGAAAGAGATATAGAAGCAATTTTTTGAGCAGTGTAGACACCAAGTGTATTCTACAATTATTTCTGAATATGAAAACACATCGTGAAATTTGTTTAACGTCGTACGAGTCATGTATTTTCTTATATAAGAATTACTTTATTTTAATTTAATTTAATTTTTAAAAGAGGACACCCCTACGAAAAATTCATGGGTCCGCTATGGCGACGTAATGAACAATTGTTCATTAGTCGGAGATTTTGCCAATGAAATGGATTCTCTTTTGTGTCGGCACCAGCGACGGAACCAGGAATTTTATATAACCTTGTGTGTTCATCGATTCTTCTTCTTCGATTTGCTATTTTGACCCAATAAAACCCAACCCATCCTGACTGGGTGGGTTTAGATTAATGATAATTTATTTGAGCTGATCAATCTAATAATGAGCCATGGAAATGGTGGTGAAAAGGTAAAAAATGCAAGAGTACATCAAGTGAAATGTAAAGTGCATCTGCAGTGCATCCTCAATTTTAGATGCATACATCATTATAATCATTACAATCTTCAAATATATAAATAATTAAAAGATAATAAAGCGCGCAAATTTAAGCAATTTTTTTTTTATAAATTGCCTGTCAATGTATCCAATGGGTGGTATATTGATAGATAAGAATAGTGAACGTCGCCACAAGAGGACTCTTAACAAATTATGTTCCTCAATCCTTTACAAAGATAGACTAGGGTTGGCAAGAGGAAGAAAATTAGGTTGGAAAGAGAAAAAAGTAGAGAGGAGTGAAAAGATAGGGTTGGCAAGAATAGAAGGTAGAGAGAAGTTATCTATCTTTGTAGTAAAACTTATATTTATAGTATTTGTTGATGGTAGGTTAACATTAAATGTGACGTGATATGTTATCAGGCGTTTATATAGGGCATATATCTATTGAGAAACTTTCGCTATGTTAGTTGCATGCTCTCTAGACGCCCGACTCTCAATCACATCCAATATTTTGTATTTTAATTTTAAGGGGTTAATTGCAAGGATGGTCACTGGGTTTACTAAAACCGTTCATGTTTGGTCACTGCAAATATTTAATTCCATTCATGGTCACTAAGATTACTTCAATAGTTCAAGTTTGGTCACTCTCCGTTAGTCTCCGTTAGTTTTTGCTGATGTGGCAGTCAACTATTATAGTTGACCGTTAAATGAGTGACGTGGCCAATAAAAAAATAATAAAATAATAAAATTTAAATATTTATAATTTCCACCTCATTTTACAACTATTAAAAATAATAATAAAAATAAAACTTACATCCTCCAAAAAAAATTCATTAATCGCTCCTCTTTCCAGCTTATTAGTTCGTTGGCAAACCACTCTGAATAACCATTTTTGGCTGCCCCTGCTTTTCCTAACTCTACATGTTTGTCTCTATCTTCCAGGTCGAGTTTTGGTTCGCCCATGTCGTATGGCAATTCAGCCCTCCTCTGTAGTTAGATAACCCATGAGACAATTGTAAGGCTAGGAAGAGAGGAAAAGAACACACGGGAAAGAATGTTGGAATACATCTCCTTCACCTTCATCTCCACCTCCATCCTCTTCTTCTTCCTCCTCAAATCCCGTCCGGCAAACAAAAACCCATATCCAGGATCCTACCCTGTAATCGGAAACATCAACAGCTTCCTCCGGAACTTCCACCGGTTCCACGACTGGGTCACGGAGATGCTCCACCGCACGCCGTCGGCGTCGGTTCAAGTCAACTCCTTACTCAACATCTCCACCGGTGTCTGCACTTCGAATCCAGACAACATCCAGCACATGCTGACTTCCCCAAACGTCTTCAGCTACATCAAGGGCTCCCGCTTCCACGCTGTCCTCCACGACCTCCTCGGCGACGGCATCTTCAACGCCGACGGCCAGATCTGGGCCGTCCAGCGCAAAATCGCCAGCAACGAGTTCTCCACCAGGTCGCTAAAACTGTTTGTGTCGGAAGTGGTGGACTCGGAGATCTCCGAAAACTTGCTTCCCTTTCTGTCCGAAGCAGAGGAGGAAAACAGGGGTTTCGATCTTCAGCAGGTGTTGAATAAATTCGCTTTCAGAAGCATTTGCAGAGTTGGGTTCGGTGTGGATCCTGAATTGTTTGTCCAGGATCTCGATTTCATGAAAGCATTCGACTACGCGGTGGAGACTTGCTTCTCGAGGTTCACCTCCCCTGTTCCTCTGTTTTGGAAGCTCAAGAGGTTTCTCAATCTCGGGTCGGAGAGGCGGTTCAAAGAGTCGGTCAACACGATCAACGATTTTTCTCAGTCATTGAATTGAATCAAAAGAAATCGAATGCCAGAACCATCAAGATCTGCTGGCGAGATTCATGGTTTGGAGCTCGTCAATGGAGTTCGAAGGCGAAAAACAGAGGCACAACGAACTAATAAGCTGGAAAGAGGAGCGATTAATGAATTTTTTTGGGGAGGATGTAAGTTTATTTTTATTATTATTTTTAATAGTTGTAAAATGAGGTGGAAATTGTAAATATTTAAATTTAATTTTTTTATTATTTTTTTATTGGCCACGTCACTCATTTAACGGTCAACTATAATAGTTGACTGCCACATCAGCGAAAACTAACGGAGACTAACGGAGAGTGACCAAATTTGAACTATTGAACTAATCTTAGTGACCATGAATGGAATTAAATATTTTCAGTGACCAAACATGAACTGTTTTAGTAAACCCAGTGACCATCCTTGCAATTAACCCTAATTTTAAGTATGATTAAAACTTGGTACAACTTAAATAGTTCATCTTAATTATGAGAATTTACAATTAAATGTATTAGTAAAAATGCATGGAGTGGTTGTAATTCTAGATTGTATTATCATATTAAAAAATGACAGAGATTTAAATTCTTTCAGCCTGTCTTTGTATACCCAAAATCAAGGGCAAATTACTTAATTCGTTGGGTAATAACTATTTATTAACCAAACTTTTTTCGATTCTTTTTTAGTAGTCAAACCTATCAAATTACTAAGAATTAGTCAAACGTTTTGTAACTCGTCAAAGTAAGAGCCATTAGTCTGTTACCGTTAACTATTTGTCCCATTCTTTTTTATTAGCCAAACCGATTGAAGTACTAATAATTTGCCAAATCTTTTGTAATGCATCAAAATATTAGCCATTTTTACGTTATCGTTAATAATTCTGTAACTCTTTTCTTAGTTAAAATATTAATTTTTTGGAATGTTGACCTCCATGTGTCTCTTCCAAGTCAGTATCATGTTGTCAAACCAATATTCTTAGGCTAATTATTAGTAATTCAATGATTTGGCTAATAAAACAGAATGAGGAAAAGATGATCAATGTTTGACCTGCTGATGTAATATTTTTTTACTACCATGTTAGAATATTCTTTCCAACTAAGCGCCACCTCTGATAGCTCACCATTAACGTTTGACTAATTAATAACATTTCAATAAATTAGACTAATTAAAAATAATTTAAAATTTTTAATAATAAATAGTCATTATCCTAATTCGTACAACTCACAGTACAGGATGAAAAGTAATATCCACCCTGAACAAGAATTAATTTTTGTATTTGTATTGAGAATGAATGGCCCTCATAGTTCCTACTGTTAGAGAGTGGTATAAGATCCACGATTGAACCTCTCCCAACAACTCGAGTTATTGGGATCAACTGGTTCTTGACATGGTATTAGAGCCTAGAACCGAAATGTCATGTGTTCGAATCTCCACGACCCCCAATATTAACAGTTTATTAAAGCACAAGGTATGGTGGGCCTAGGCAAACTTCAAGCCCGTAAGTTGGCTTTCGTTTGAGGGGGCGTGTTAGAGTGTGGTATAAGATCGAGCTCGAGTTATTGCCTATTGGGGCCAACTGGTTTTTGACACCTACCACGCCTTAGGTTGTGCTGATATTTTTTATGCATTATTAACATGTGTGTTATCTCATGTATAACAAATTGTTTTCCATTACGCACTCTATATAATATATATGCATCCCCTCCTTTGCCCATTCTTCCTACACTTCAGTTAAGCTTGCTGGATCATAACAATGGAGGTCTTATCTTCTTCCTTCCACATCTCCACCCCAATCTCTCCTCCTGCTTCATCCCTTCATCCTCTTTCCATCATCATCCCGCCGACCACCGTGTCGATCAAGAGTAGGAACAGATCGCGAGCTCAAGCGGCGGCCCACCACCACCACCATTCCCTAACTTCTCGAGCTCTAAATGCAGCCGACGACTTCATCAACACCATCATCGACCCTCCCGGCCCACACTCCCCTTCCACCGACCCCGGCTTCGTCCTCTCCGGCAACTTCTCCCCCGTCGATGAGCTCCCTCCCACGGAATGCCACGTCATCCACGGCTCCATCCCTCCTTGTAGGGGTGTACATGGGTCGGGTGGTCCGGGTTTAGGCATTTTAATCACCCGACCCATGCACTACGGTTTGGGAAATATTAAACCCAAACCCACCCAAAAAAATCTAAACCCTACGGTTTGTTTTTAATTGGGTTGGGTCGGGTTGGCGATATTTTTAAGTAAAAACCCAACCCAACACAAAATATGTAATTATTCTACATGATAAAAATATTTTATAACAAATTAAAAATTCAAACGAATAAACCGAGGCGAAAGGTATCAAAATTCACAAATATTGTTTGAATTTTAATAAAACTTTATTTACTTCAACTTATGTCTAACTTTTAAAATTGTACACAAGAAAAAAATACGTGAATCATAGCTATATTAAATATATGTCTAAACTTTAAGTCGAAGAATGCATTAGATTAGTGAGACTTTAAGATAAAAACATGGCGAAATATCTTAATTTTCTCATAAGTATGATTATATACGACATAAATATTTTTTTGGATACGAACTCATACCCATAATTGGAACACGGGTTGGGTCGGGTTCTACGGGTTGTGTAATCCAAAATCCAAACCCAACCCAAAAGAGGCGGGTTGTACAAAAGAAAACCCTCACCCAACCCAAAACCTTCGATTTAGCGATAAATACGGGTGGGTTGGGTCGGGTTGGACGGGTGGGTCGGTTTGCGGGTGTGTTTGTACACCCCTACCTCCTTGCCTCGATGGGGCTTACATCCGTATTGGGCCGAACCCACAGTACTTCCCTCGTGGGCCTTACCACTTATTCGATGGGGACGGCATGCTCCACGCCCTCACCATCTCACGCGCCCGTCCACCCACGCTCTGTAGCCGCTACGTCAGGACCCACAAGTACCTCACTGAACGCGCCGCCGGTGGTCCCCTCATCCCAAATGTCTTCTCCGCCTTCAACCGTTTCCCCGCCGGCGCCGCCCGCGCCGCACTCACCGCCGTCAGAATCGCTCTCCGTCAGTTCAATCCGGCCAAAGGCATCGGCCTGGCCAACACCAACCTCGCCTTCTTCGCCGGCCGCCTCTTCGCTCTCTGGGAGGCCGATCTCCCTTACGCCATCCGCCTGACGGAGAGCGGCGACGTGGAGACAATCGGCCGCCACGATTTCGACGGGAAGCTTGGGGTGAGCATGACGGCGCACCCGAAGGTAGATCACCGGACGGGCGAGACCTTCGCGTTTAGGTACGGCCGTGCGCCGCCGTTCCTCACCTACTTCCGATTCGATGCCGACGGCGGGAAGAAGCCGGATGTTCCAATCTCCTCCCTGAGCCGGCCACCTTTTCTCCACGACTTCGCGATTACGGAGAAGTACGCGCTGTTCGTGGAGACTCAGATCGGGATGGACGTGTGGAGGTCGGTTTTCCGAGGCGGGTCGCCCCTCAGATCCGACCCGAATAAGGTGTCCCGGATTGGGGTGATCCCGCGTTACGCGGCGGACGGGTCGGAGATGAGATGGTTCCACGTGGCAGGGTTCAACCCCGTCCACGTGTTGAACGCGTGGGACGAGGAGGACGGCCACAGGGTGGGCATGCTAGTGCCGAACGTCACGTCCGTGGATCGCGCGTTGGAGAGGTTCGATCTCACCCACGCGCAGGTGGAGAAGGTGCGGGTCGACTTGGACACGGGGATGGTCTACCGGGTCCCGGTCTCGACCCGGAACGTGGAATTCGGGTCGGTTAACCCGTGTTACGTAGGGAGGAAGAACCGGTTTGTCTACGCTGGAATCGGGGACCCGACTCCGAAGATATCGGGGGTTGTGAAACTCGACGTAGGGGACGAAATGGCGGGTTGGACGAGGAGAGAGAGTGCGGTCGCGTGTAGAATGTTCGGGCCGGGTTGCTTCGGCGGGGAACCGTTCTTCGTGGCGAAGGATCCGGGGAGTTCGGAGGCGGATGAAGACGACGGGTACTTGGTGACGTACGTTCACAACGAGATCAATGGGGAGTCGAGGTTTTTGGTGATGGACACTCAATCGCCGGAGCTCGAGATTGTAGCGGCGGTAAGGCTGCCGCGGCGGGTTCCCTACGGATTCCATGGTCTGTTCGTGAGGGAGAGTGACCTACGTAGGGCATCCGGACCGTAAATCCAATTGGTCAGTTACGTAAGCCAGACCGTATATATATTATATGTATTTTATATTTTAAATTATGGATAGAACAAAAGGCTTCTCTCTTATTCTAGTACCACACTATCAACAAGCCATATTAATTTTGTAATCTCTTTCTTTAACTTCTAGTTAATATATATTAGCAAAAGCCCGCTTGTTGTCGCTTCGCGTATTAGAAGAATAAATAGTTTAGAAAAATAATAGTTTTAATGTTGACTCAAAAGTGAAATTACTCTTATTTCATTCTTAATCATTTCTTTCATAGGTTTGTTATTTACAATAGCATATATGGTCGATGAACTTGCATAAGGTAGAAGGGCCGTCGAATAGATTATTTATGTTTAAACTCCTTTCATGACGCTTCAATTTATATGGCTAGTAATTGATCCTGCTGTAACTTTTGCATAATGAAGCAGCTTCTCTCGATCTTTTCAAGAAGAATTTAAAAAAACAACTGTTGAGTGTTTAGCTGAAAAACTCTGAAAATTACTTTCTAATATAAGAGGTAGTGAAAAATGACTAAAAATGATTTATATAATAAATATGAATAAAAATTCTAAAAATAAAAAAGTATTTAAAATGGATCACGTTAGATTTATTTCCTATTAAATAATATTATTTTTCAATTTATTTTTTTATGATGATATATATGAAAGAAAATTATGTTTTCTAGAAAAAGAATAATATATGGTTAGGACAATTTTGTATTTTAAAATCGCAACTTCTGCTTTTAAGTTACGAAATGCTTCAGTTTTTTAAAAATCGAAATTTTAGAGGTATTTGGCTTGGCTTTAACTTTTGAAACATTAAACTTATAAAATTCTAGCCAAACATAGTCGTACTCGTTTAACTTTTTTTTTAGGTTTGAGATAATCGTGGTTCTCCTTTATGGAAATTTTGGACTGATTGCAGGTTTGAGAAGGTTCAACTCGCATTCATCGGTTCAAATTAGGTTGGATACCCAAGGATTTGGTTCAATTGTCTTTCTCAAATAAAAGGAAAAAGCCAAATGAAAAACACTAAAGCTAAAACTCGCTACCGACTAAAACTCGTCAACACCAAGTTCAAATTGCTTTGACATGATTGGACCGAGTTTTGGAAAAATTCACACCCAACACAACACGACAATTACAAAAAAACGATAAAACTCGCTATCGCCGAAAACCTGGAAAATCGGGTTCAAGTCACTTTGGTCGGCTGGAATTAGGTTGTATACCCATGCGTTTAGACTCAATTCTCATTATCAACGAAAAGTAAAAGATAAAAAAATACTAAAGCGGATAAAACTCGCTCATGACCCCAAACTCTCAACACTGCGTTCAACTCGCTATGACCGGGTCGATCGAGTTTTAACAAATTCACAATTTATCCACCTGTAAATTACAAAAGCAGATAAAACTTGTTCTCGATACGAAACGCTTCAACAATGGGTCATAGTTCAATTGTCATTCTCAACAAAAGGAAAATGAAAAATAAAAAAATATTGAAGCGTACAAAACTCGTTTTTCGATCTAAAACTAGTCAACAATGTGTTCAACTCGCTTTGAACAATTTCTTAACAAATTAACACTTGGTCCAACCTGCCAATTACAAAAGTGGTTAAAGCTTGCTCACAATATAACACTCATCAAAACCTTAGATTCGTGTTCAATTGTCTTCTCAACCAAAAGAAGGAAAAAAGAGAAACTTATAAATGCTAAAGTCTGTTTCAAGTCGATTTGACAAGATCGAATTAGGTTTGATACTCTTGGATTTGGGTTCAATTGTGATCATGCTCAACAAACAAGAAAAAGTGAAAGAAAAAACATTAAAACAAATGAAAGTCGGTCCCGATACAAAACTCGCCAACATTGGGTAGATATGGTGGAGAACAACTTAGGATTGCGCTGACAATATTTCGACATGGGCTACAAAATGGTGGGCAAAGGCGATGATTTGTGTTCAAGTTAGGATACCCATGTGTTTGGGTTCAATTGTGATCATGCTCAACAAAAATAAAAAATCACTAAAGAGGATGAAACTCGGTCCATATACAAAACTCGTGGTAGCGGCCTTGGAAAACGCTGGCGGGGAATAATTAGGATTTCGCCGACAGTATTTCGAGATGGGCTGCAAAATGTTGGACAAAGGCGATGATTTGTGCAAAAAGTAATAGACGAAAACCTAGCGAACAATAACTAAACACAAAGACGATGATAACACAAAAGCGATGATTTGTGCAAAAAGCCATAGACGAAAACCTAGCGAACAATAGGCTTCTATATATTAATTAATTCTTAATGAAAATTAAAATGGGAAATAAAAAAATTAAAACGTACAAAACTCGATTTCGATCCAAAACTATGCAAAAAGCCATATACGAAAACCTAGCGAACAATAAATAAACACAAAGGTTGGAGAATGGAGAGTGGGGTAAAAGAAGACTTAGAACTTCCCCACTTGCACTTGGAGGAGAGTGAGAGCCACTAATGAATAGTAACTCAAACATAGGGTTCTATAGACGAAAACCTAGCGAACAATAGGCTTCTATATATTAATTAATTCTTAATGAAAAGGAATATTAATTAATTCGTAACGAAAAGGAAAATGAGAAATAAAAAAAATTAAAATGTACAAAACTCGATTTCGATCCAAAACTGTGAAAAAGCCATATACGAAAACCTAGTGAACAATAATTAAAAACAAAGGTTGTAGAATGGAGAGTGGGGTAAAAGAAGACTTGGAACTTCCCCACTTGCATTTGGAGGAGAGCGAGAGCCACTAATGAATAGTAACTCAAACCTAGGTAAAAGAAAATGAGAAATAAAAAAAATTAAAATGTACAAAACTCGATTTCAATCCAAAACTGTGCAAAAAGCCATATACGAAAACCTAGTGAACAATAATTAAAAACAAAGGTTGTAGAATGGAGAGTGGGGTAAAAGAAGACTTGGAACTTCCCCACTTGCATTTGGAGGAGAGTGAGAGCCACTAATGAATATTAACTCAAACCTAGGTAAAAGAAAATGAGAAATAAAAAAAATTAAAATGTACAAAACTCGATTTCGATCCAAAACTGTGCAAAAAGCCATATACGAAAACCTAGTGAGCAATCATTAAAAACAAAGGTTGTAGAATGGAGAGTGGGGGTAAAAGAAGACTTGGAACTTCCCCACTTGCATTTGGAGGAGAGTGAGAGCCACTAATGAATAGTAACTCAAACATAGGCTTTTATATATCAATATATATATCGATTTTGTAACATTCAAGTTCATTATAAACGAAACCTCAAAACTTAGGAATGACAAAAATATATGTAACCATGGATATCCGTCCGAATTCGACCTTGTCGGGTAGGTTAAAACTCGAACCCGAATATTGTGGGTAATGGGTGGGCATGGTTTTCTCACTATCCAACCTGAACCCGCCTGTTATACACGTACATATGTATTTTGTCTAGAAATAATCATTATTTTTCTCTAGCATATTTCATATTTATCATATAAATATAATATTCTCATGAAATTTTGTTGTTTTAATGAATTTTCTTCATTCTAATGAATTATTGTCATACTTTTTGTCTTATATAATGTGAGAATACATGTGAATATTAACAAATTGGTTGGAGTTATAAAGATAAACTATTACCCATGGATAACCGTGGATATCCGAAACCCGAACGGGTATGGGCATGGTTTTGATTTTCTACACTTTTCTTATGTGGGTATGGGTATGGGTAAACTCCGAACTACTTTGGGTAGGATAATAGATATACACTATCCGTCCCCGACCCGATCCGTTGCCATACCTACGTAATGTTATTTGTTTTTCTAATAATAGTACTGGTCAAAACAAGTCTTAAAAGAATTTTTTCTGCAATAAATTACGTGAAGAACATATTTTGGAATCGGGAATGAGAATGAAATTATGAGTGATGTTTTGGTAGAGTAGTTCAAATATAATTGACATTTTTGCGGCATGTCAAGCACCGGTAAAGTTCTTTGCTTTGCATCATAGAGTCTGCATAATGAATGTATTTGGAATTTAGATGCTTTTCAAAACATGGCAATAGAATCGATAGGTTAGGGAGGAGAGGTAGATGGCTCTTCCTCCTTTCTCTCATTATTGTCAATGTTGTTTCTAGGTGATGTTCTTTTTATTAAAGAACAAGTAAGATGTGCACTATTACTTATAGTCACATCAATAATGATTTTTTTATTGTTTACTGTTTACTTTTTATTAATAAATGTATTAATCTTGTGTTTTGATTATTTCTTTTTATTAGATCAATTATTATTATTATTATTATTATTATTATTATTATTATTATTATTATTATTATCTCTTTAAAAGAACAAGCTATGTGTTTACTGTTTGGTAAAGTCACTTCCCAATTAATGGCCTTAACAGTGTTTACTAGGTTCTGTTTTTAATTATTGCCTCTTTTTTCTCTGTTCTCTCTTTCGTCTCTGCTTTTTCATGGGTTCCTTCGCCAGCGACGGCTCTTCTCTCTTCAGCTGACCGGTTTTCGGGCCTTCTCACCTCTGCCCTGGAGATGACAGGTCTGCAGCTTCATACCCTCTTTTTGTTCACAACTTTTGCTTTGCTGCCTTCTTATCTTCCATTCTTCTTCTCACATCATTTTTTTCTCTGATATTCTGCTTTGTTCGCTCTGTTTCTTCTCTTGCTCTTCAATGGTGGCCCATAAACTCCTATTGGATCTCAACGACTTGGATGGCATGGCGGCGACGGAGGGAGAAGAGGACAGCAACATTGGCGGGAGTCTCGCGCAGGGATACCCTCAGGCCGAGCGGAGGATCTCCCGATTCATAGGTCGCCGCCATCCCAGTTTTGCAAGCCTCCTCCACGATCAAGGTAGAAGATATTGGGTATTTTTGTGTATGAATTTGTTCTTTTTGGGTGCCTGACTTTTCTTTCTTTTGGCTTTCTTCTTCACCTTCTCGGTTAGTGTTGACTGCTGAGATTGCAGGCCACAGGAAAGGTGCAGTTATTTGTGTGGGTTTGTGAGTTGGTGAGAGGATGCAGAGGACGGGAAGTGGCGAGCTAAGGCGAGATCGTTCTGTAACTCTTGGGAGGCAGCAGTGGGTTTATCGCGGGGTTGGAGAGCGGGAGTCATTCAGTTCCTACAAGCTCTATTTTAGGGAACAGGAGCTCCATCTCCATACCCGGTGGCTCCGTGTTCAACGGCTGGTCTTTGACAGTATGAGAAAGGTGGGTGGAACGAGTTCGCCTCCAAACAGAGCATCACTGTGTTGTGAATTAGAAGATGGAACAATCCGTTTAATGGGATAGGATGGATCCAGATGGTTAGTTTTCTAAGTATGAATCCAAATGGTTAGTTATCTATACTCGTTTCTTTCCTCTTTGTGATTCCTTATAATTTTTGTTGTCGGCTGATTGTCCATAAGGAGGATGGGTTTGGTTTCTCATAAATATCACTGTGAGAAAGCATCAAGCATTGGCGTTGAAAGACCTTCAATGATGACTGCAACTTTATAGTGTGAGATTTCCATTTTTAGCATAAGGAGTGCACTGAATTTCCTTTTTTGAAGTAATGGGAGTGTAGTGAATGATACTGAAGGTTATGGGATTTTCATGAGAATGTTGTGCTGCCACCAGCACTCTGCATAATGTGGATTGTATCGAGGAAAGGCCAGTTCGAAGAGGTGAAGGACAAGTAGAGGCGCTGGAGTTTATCCTCGAACGTGAGACGAATTCAGACTATAAAATTTCTCACATGTAAGTTTTACTTCCTTTGTTTTCTGCAGACTCTGGCATCCTAAAACAAGAATTAACTATGCTTTGCTCAACCTGGATTAGCTCTTCTTTGCCAACCTCTCTTTATGTGCTTTGCCAAAATTTGTATCTTATTGTGAATCTCATTAGTGGGGAAGAAATTCCAGTTGACTGGAGTTTTTTTATGTTTAATTGACCTGTAACATGATGTAGCAGGTTGTGGATGCTGTGTAACTCTTTGTCACAGTTAATTCTCATAACACATTTCTTTGTCCATGCTAATTCAACGGTGAATTATCAGGTTGAGATGCGAGAATGCACTACAGTGTGTATGGAAGTCATTGACATGGGAGATGGGAGGAAGATCTATTGGGCAACTAGATAGGTGAGGCAAGAAACTAGCGGAATTTGTATGTATTTCATTTTGATTTTGTAGTTTTTGGTTGGTTTATTCAAAATGTGTTTGTGATAACCTTTATTTTTGTGTTTCATTTATTTCTATAGTTGTAGGTTGTAGATCATGAAGGAACCACAGGGGTTGGTGACAACAGTTCCAGGCCAACCAGGAGAATGAAATGTTTGGTTCTTTTCAAGCGACACTAAGACTTGATGATTGGTGATTCGATTTTTCTCAGCACAGGGGCAAAATTTATCTCTATGAATTTTAGAAACCTCTCTGTCATGTTAAGAGTACCCTTCCTTCTATCGATGCGTTTTCCCTTCCAGTTCTATTTTATAGGTGGTGTATTTAAATCAGGGCCTCCAAATTTCACACTTGAACATACTTCACTCTCTATGTTCTCAAGCACCTAGCAATGGTTGTTCTCTTTTCCCACCTATATTATTACTTCAAATCCCAACTGTGTTCTTCCTTTTATGTATGGAATGGAAGCAACAATTTTTGTGGTTGGCAATGATTGTTCTCTTTTCCCACCTATATTATTACTTCAAATCCCAAATGTGTTCTTCCTTTTATGTATGGAATAGAAGCAACAATTGTTGTGGATGGAAATGTGGGAGTGACTTCCTTGACGTGTTGTTGTGATTGTTTCTTATTTCAGGTGAGGAGGTGCTTTCAATGTAGGGATTAATTAGTTTGACAATTTGTTTCATAATTTTGACCATTGGTAGTGCGAGTAGTGCGTTTCAGGGAACTTTGATTCAGGCCATCACTCCGGCCAACCTCATCCAACACTTCGCCGATATTCTGCAGTTGGGAAGTGTTTACTTCAAAGAGTCTCTATCGTGTAGTATGTTAAACATATATCTCTGTTTTCAGGTGCACACTATTAAAACTTTGCTTTTTACATATTGTTGTTGTGTCTCCTCTACTATGCCCTGGACAAAACCTTCTCTGTCAACATTGCTTTGCTGCTGTCATATGCAAATTAGAATGGTTTAGTCTTTTCTTCCTCTATTATATCAGCTTTTATTCTATGGTTTTATCTTTTCTTCCTCTACTGTTGGTCGCATTTGCCAGTGTAATGTTATTTGCCTTTGAGGTAAGTTAATTGGCAATTCGTAGTTCTTTGTTCTTCCAATTGTGGCCAGTTGTCATCCATGTGTTTATATAACTTGCTTCGTTCGAGGCCATAAGGAGATAACCGTACAATATCATTTAAGTCATTAGAAAATTGTATTAGCGTTTTCTTTGGTTAGATAGTTTTTTCCCCACTTTTTTCTCAAATTCACATTGGATTGTAATACCAGGGAATGCATAAATTCACTCTAGGTGGCAGTAGAACGGAGGAGTGTCGACCAAAAAATACCTCTTGCCAAAGCAAAGCAGCCCACAAGGAACTTGAAAGAACAGTTGCTTTTACTGCTATATTTTTCCCGAAATGCATTGCTATATTGATTAGGTTCTGTTGTTTGCATTCTGCAACTCCTGGAACTTTTGAATATTGCAGGGGGAGCAAGCCTATCAAGGTTGATGACTGTCACTGGAGCATATGTATGTTGAAATTTTCCCCCTATGTCCTCAGTTTTTAGCCGCTGAATCACTAGCTTGCGGTGCTTTCATTGTATGCATACTGAAGGTCTGAAGGTGTCCTAGCTTGAACTGTTAATAGTATGAAGTGGCTTATACCCGAGTTCTCTTTGTTGAAATGCTTGTAGCCATGCATGTGTCTAGCTCTTGCCTTATTTCTCCATCCATTAAGTGCATTTTCCTGCATGTAGAGAGGTAAAATGTGCAAAAGATAACTTATTTGTGTTGTTTTGTAACTTGGTCAGTCTATGTCTAAGTGTGTGTCTGCATTTAGACCATTTCTCCTGAGCATGTTGATTAATTGAAGATTTATGTGTCTACATAGGATGAGAACACCATTTCAGTTCTGCTGCCCAAGCATGACCAAATGGAATGGTGGAAAACTTTGGTGAAAGGAGGTCCTGAAATCGATACACAGGAGGTAGAACCTGGAAACAGCAAGCTTGCTGACCCATACCTTCAAACACACCAGGTTGTCGAGTAGACGATGGTAACTTATTCGTGCCCTACTCCACCCCTATAATCTTGTGATCAGCTTAACCCGATATCTCTCTTTTGCGATCGTTGTGGTGTTATTTGTGCAGCTGACAGTACTTTCCATATTTTTATCACCTCTAACTGGTCTTTCGTGCTTAACCTGCAGTTTGATCAGATACAGAAACAAATGGGCCTCCCAACCAGCAATGAGATTCATAAGCAGGATATTCTAATGAGGCTTGTGCCGAGGTGAGTTGCCATATATAAACCTCTAATCTCTAACTTTCCGGTGCCTTTCTTCTCCGCCACTTTGTTAACCTGGTGGTTGGTTTTGGTTATTGACCATCCAGAGATGTCATTTTGCAAGGGCAAAGATAAACTAAAATAGTAGCGAAAGGGACCGACATGGGTTTTCTTGAAGGCTGTGAATTTACAGCCCGTGTGATTTTGGGTTGAAAGTACTTTGGTTAATAGGTGTACAAGACATTTGAAAGAGAAATATCTGGATTTGGTTAGTTTTTAGAAGTTATTTGCTTGAATAAGAGCCTTAAATGTTCATTTTAGCATTTTCAATCCATTTCACCGTCTAATTTGCATAATACGTTTTTTTTTGTATCATTGTTACGTGAAGCAGCGCAAGCGGGTCTACCTAGTAAGAAGGAATATGATCAGTTGTAGGTGCGGAAGGACTAGGAGGCATCACTACTACCTCTTTTTCCTTTACCTTCTCCTTGTCGCCCTATACTAGCCTGTAGGAGGGAGGACTAGCAATATTGAGGGTTTTAGTTTGTTATTAATGTTAGCTGGAATCAAGGAGTCTGAGATAATGAGAGTGTGGTAATTAGTCATGGCCAAAGCCCGTGGTCAAAAGTCATTGTAATTAAGCACTTATATTTTCACCAATAAAATTTGTGATCAGTTACTCTCATATAAGTTCACATTGTGATATCAAAACTTACTAGCTAACTGTCATCAAGCAACAACTCGAGATTAAGAGAACCTGCAACCCTAGTTGCAAACCTGGGATTGAGAAACAAGAGAGTTTAAGTGAGAAAAGTAATACAGGGCGGTGACTTAATGGCTCAAATTGTTAATTAAGGAGACTTGCTGAAAAGTTATCAAAGGAGGGAGAATAGTAGTTTGCACAGGTGTGCATTTTAAAATTCGATGGTGATTATGATCATTGGGCCCTCTTGATGGAGAATTTGTTGAGATCAAAGCAGTACTGGGAAGTGGTTAATGAAGGCTTCAGGGAACCCTCGGGAAATGAGGTGTTGTTATGACATTTTAGTATCTAAACTTTTCAAATTTGTATAATGGTTAATTTTGTAGATGTCACTTAGCTTGTATCCTTGATCCAATCCACCAACCCATTTGATCTAATTCATGAATCAATCAATCCATTGCATCCATGGATCCACCAATCTAATCCACCAATGCATCCAATCCATTTGTCACCTCTATGCAATCAAATTTGGGTCATTGTTCCACCGCCTCCCCAGTGCAATCTCTTGAAGGGGCAAAGCCTGTTTGGTTGCTCGTGGATTTTAACTAACTCTCGACATGAATTTATCTCAAACTTACAGTCTGGTGCTCAAACCCGCTACTCTTCGCTTGATTCTTGATATTGTTGTCAGTTGTCACTCATGATTGACATTGTCATTAAATTGACATTTCCAATGCTTTTGAACATGGATAATTGAAAAAAAAGTCTACATAAAGCAGTTATTTGGTCTAGGTCGTGCATATCACGTTAGTCGTCTTCAAAAGTCAGTCTATGGTCATTGGCAGGCTCCATTAACCTATTTTTTATATCTTTTTCGTGCTTGCCTAGATTTGGTTGTTCCATTTCTCGCACCAACCCGTCATTCTTTGTTATAAACGCGCTGCTACGGATCGGGAAATTGCTGGAATCGACAAAGCAAGAATACGAAAGCGAGAATCGAAAAACACAGACACACAATTTACGTGGTTCACTAACACGATGTGTGTTAGCTACGTCCACGGGCGAGAGAGAGCCAGTTTCACTATAGTACTTCTCCATGTGGGTCTAAACCTAATCCAATATGCCAAAGGAAACGGTTACAGACCAGGCCCAGAACCAGAACCCAAATAACATTGAGCCCATACACCGTGGGTCGGGGGAGTTGCCCCCGCACCCCCACCGGGGCGTTGCCCCTGGACCCCACTCGATGACCTCCGATTACCAGTCGTAGCGGCTGATAATCCGATTCAAGTCATATCAACAAATCTCCCTCTTGACTTGAATCCTCTTCCTCTGAAATCTCTGATGTACTCTGATCCTTCTCCCTCTCCCGCCATCAATGCCCCGTAGGGCGGAGTCACCCACTCAAGACATTCAGCAAGTCCAAGCAGGGTTGGAACTTGCCATGTGGAACCGGCTTCGTGAACATATCAGCAGGATTATCCGCGGTGCCAACCTTCTTCACCTTAATCCTCTTCTCTGTCCTCAAGAAATGATACCTCACATCGATGTGCTTAGTCCTCTCATGGTGGACTTGATCCTTGGCCAAGCATATTGCACTCAAACTGTCGCAATACACCACTGCCTGATCATGATGTAGACCCAGATCACCAACCAGTCCCTTCAACCATATTCCCTCCTTAGCAGCTTCTATCAACGCCATATACTCTGCCTCGGTAGTAGACAACCGCCGACTGCAGAGTTGCCTTCCAGCTCACTACAGAACTCCCAAGAGTGAATACATAACCGGTCATCGATCTCCTCGTGTCAACATCTCCAGCATAGTCCGAGTCAGAATACCCAGACACCAAGCACTCTGTATCACTTCCGAAGCTAATCCCCACATCAGGTGTACCCTTAAGGTACCGGAAGATCCTCTTCACAGCCTGCCAATGCTCCTTCCCAGGTTTTATCATAAACCTGCTGACAACACTAACAGCATGTGCAAGATCAGGTCTAGTGCATACCATAGCGTACATCAAGCTACCTACTGCACTAGCATATGGGACTCTCGACATGTACTCCTTCTCAGCCTCTGACTGCGGTGCATAAGCTGAGGATAGATGAACATTTGAAGCACTAGGAGTATTTAAGGGCTTTGCCGAAGACATGCCAAACCTCGACAATATCTTCTGGATGTAGCTCTTCTGTGACAAGAAAAGGTTCTTCTTCGACCTGTCCCTGTAAATCTCCATACCCAAAATCTTCTGAGCAGCTCCCAAATCCTTCATCTCAAACTCAGCACTGAGAAGCCCCTTTAACTTCTGGATATCAGACTTTGACCTCGCAGCTATGAGCATATCATCCACATACAAAACTAGATATATCATCGAACCATCCTCTGCCTTGCTGTGATATACACAACAATCATATGGACTTCTGCTGTAGCCCAGCTCAAACATGTAACTGTCAAATCTCTTGTACCACTGCCTCGGAGATTGTTTAAGTCCATACAAGGACTTCTTCAGCTTACAAACATAGTCTTCTTTTCCCGGAACCTCGAATCCTTCTGGCTGAGTCATGTAAATTTCTTCCTCCAACTCTCCATGTAGGAAAGCTGTCTTCACGTCTAGCTGCTCGAGCTCCAAGTCATAATGTGCCACTATTGCTAATAGCACTCTGATCGAAGTATGTCTGACCACTGGTGAGAAAATCTCATTGTAGTCAACTCCTTCCCTCCGCGAGAAGCCTCGTGCAACCACCCGAGCTTTAAATTTCATGCCCTCTTTAGAAGTGATTCCTTCCTTCTTCTTGTAGATCCACTTGTTTGTAACAATCTTCCTTCCCTGTGGTCGTTTGACTAGCTCCCAAGTCTGATTCCTATCATGGGATTCCATCTCATCTCCCATTGCGGCAAGCCACTGATCAACTTCACCACCCGTAACTGCTTCTTTATAGGACTGTGGCTCTCCTGCATCCACTTCCTCAGCAACCTGAAATGAATACGCACCATGTCCTCGAAGCCATACCTCTGTGGAGGTACTCCTGCAGTCGCTCTCTTCGGTCTACCGGAAGCAATAGACCGTTTAGCTCATGCACTGGACTCTGAAGTTTCTGGCTCTGCAGAGACATCCTCATCATGTTGATCTTCTCCACCTTGGTGCTCAAACTCACTCTCATTGAGAGTTTGCAGCTCCACCTGCTTATCAACATTCCTACTACCTTCAACAACAGTAACCTTCAACATGGGGTTAAACATAGACTTCTCATCAAATATCACATTTCTACTAAGTATAACTCGATGCTCAGAAGGTGACCAGACTCGAAATCCCTTAACTCCATCTCCGTAACCCACAAATACACCCTTCTTTGCCCTTGGATTTAGTTTACCCTCATCCACGTGATAATAAATAGGACACCCAAAAACTTTCAGTGAAGAGTAATCAGCAGGCTTACCATACCACACTTCATAAGGAGTCTTACACTCGATACCTGTGTGTGGTCCACGATTGATCAGGAAGCACGTCATGTTTACTGCTTCTGCCCAGAATCTTCTCTCTAGTCCAGCATAAGAGAGCATGCACCGTGCTCTCTCCAACAATGTCTGGTTCATCCTTTCTGCAACGCCATTCTGCTGGGGTGTATCTCTAACAGTCCGATGACGGGCAATCCCTTCATCCTTGCAGAATTCGTTGAACTCAGAATTACAGAACTCCAGACCATTGTCCGTTCGCAGCTTCTTGATCTTCTTACCGGTCTGATTCTCCACCAATGTCTTCCACTGCTTGAACTTCGTGAAAGCCTCACTTTTCTGCTTCATCATGAAAATCCAAGTAAATCTCGAATAATCATCAATAATAGACAGAAAATACCTGCTGCCTCCAATGGATTCAACTCGTGAAGGACCCCAACAATCAGAGTGGAGGTAATCTAGTATCCCCTTCGTCCGGTGGATACCCTTCTTGGAAAACTTGCTGCGATGTAGCTTCCCAAACACACAATGCTCACAGAATTCCAAATTCTGCACCTTGTGCCCGCAAAGAAGATCCCTCTTCGATAGAACTTGCATCCCCCGTTCACTCATATGCCCCAGTCTCATGTGCCAGAGAGTGGTCATATCTTCCTGTTGAACCTGAGACGATGCAACTGCAGCAGAACCAGACAACACAGACCCTTGTAATGCATACAAGGTCTCACGCTTCACGCCCTTCAGTACCTTCCTTGAACCTTTGCAGACATATACAAGTCCACCTTTTCCTTTGAAGCTGAAACCCTTGCTGTCTAGTAGACTCAAGGATATCAGGTTCTTTGTCATTCGTGGAACATGCCTGACATCATTCACGGTACAGAACGAACCATCATGTGTCCGAACCTTTATGGACCCGATTCCAACAACCTTGCAGACAACTCCATTTGCCATGACCACGTTACCACCATCTATCTGCTCGTAGGTTGTGAAGCAATCCCTGTTCGGAGACATATGGTATGAGGCTGCAGTATCCAGAAACCACACATCCCCACGATGTGCCTTCTCGTCTACGGCCAAGGAGAGATCGTCTTCAGAACTGTTGTCCACTTCTGCCACGGCAACTGAACCTTGTTTCTTCTGTTGCCCTCTTCTCTTGGGACAGTTGTACTTCCAATGCCCCACTTCCTTACAGTTGTGACAAGCATCACCTGGCTGTGGACCGGGATCCTTGGAATTCTTGCTCGAATTCCCTTTACCAGATTTCTTATTTCCCTTTCCACCTGTAACAGCCAAACCCGATGCCTCACCAACTGTACCAAATCCGGACGCCTTATGTCTGATCTCCCTCGTATGAAGAGCAGACCTGACATCCTCCAATGACACGCTTTCTTTACCAGCAATAAAAGAATCAACGAAATTCTCATATGAACTCGGCAAAGAAACCAGCAGGATTAGGGCAGCATCCTCGTCATCAACTTGAACATCTATATTACGCAGATCCAGCAAAATAGAGTTAAGTTGTTCGAGATGTTCCCTCAAAGGCGTACCTTCTTGCATCCTCAAGCTGAATAACCGTTGCTTGAGATGCAGCTTGTTGGTTAGAGACTTAGTCATGTACAGACTCTCTAGTTTCAACCACAAGCCCGCGGTAGTCTTCTCAGCAGCGACTTCAATGATGACGTCATCAGACAACGATAGCATGATGGTCGAGTGGGCCTTCTCCTCCAGGGTATTCCACTCATCGTCATCGACCGCTGCCTTCTTCTGTTTCGCAGACAGCGGCCCCCACAGCCCTTGCTGTTTCAATAAAGCCTGCATCTTGATCTGCCATATAGCGAAGCTGTTCTTCCCCGTGAACTTTTCGATCTTCATGTTCACCGACGTCATTCTTCTGAATCGAAAACCCTAGCTTGATTTCCAGCCGCGGCTCTGATACCACTTGTTATAAACGCGCTGCTACGGATCGGGAAATCGCTGGAATCGACAAAGCAAGAATACGAAAGCGAGAATCGAAAAACACAGACACACTTTTTACGTGGTTTACTAACACGATGTGTGTTAGCTACGTCCACGGGCGAGAGAGAGCCAGTTTCACTATATCGAGGAGATTACATATTACAGAGGAGTATGAGAAGTATTTATAGTACTTCTCCATGTGGGTCTAAACCTAATCCAATCTGCCAAAGGAAACGGTTACAGACCAGGCCCAGAACCCGAACCCAAATAACATTGAGCCCATACACCGTGGGCCGGGGGAGTTGCCCCCGCACCCCCACCGGAGCGTTGCCCCTGGACCCCACTCGCTGACCGGGCAGCGAGACCCCCGATTACTAGTCGTAGCGGCTGATAATCCGATTCAAGTCATATCAACATTCTTCATCTATATTTTCGAGTGGATTGTGTTTACATGCTCGTTTATGTTGATTATATTTGTACGACTTCTTCACTTCTCCGTCAATCGACTTATGAATGTCTTCATTATAATTTTGATCTTTGGCAAACTAGCTAGGTTCTTTGTCTTACTTCCTAGGCATTTAAGTTCATCGTACTGTTGCTGGACTCCTATTAAGTCAACAAAAAATTATTTTATAACTTTTGGACTGCTCTAAGATGATTGAAGCCAAAGTTGCATCTTCTTCGTGCATTCTTGAAATTGTTCAACAGAGTGCTACCAATTCCTCTCCTCTGTTCACAAATCTTGAACTCTACCACAGTATTGTTGGTAGCTTACACTATCTCAGTTTCACATTCAGTTGCATCTTTTGTACTTCAAGTTATTACTAGCTAATCATTTCAAAAAAAAAAGTTATTACTAGCTAATATGTGGTTTGTTTGTAGGCATTAGGGGTTCTATATATATTTAGTAGGCAACACGTCAATGTTTCTAACCATTGTCAATAGTCTTAAACTCTTAATAGTATTCTGTAGTTTGATTAATTGGTAGACAGCAGCGGTCTCATTAGTATAGGCATTGAGCCACTCATTTATAAATATCAATAAAGTTTTCTCGTTCATATATTGTGGCCATAAAATATTAAATTTTGTGTTACATTATTGTACCATCTTTTCCGTTGTAGTCTAGTTGGTTAGTATATTCTGCTCTCACCAGAAAGACCCGGGTTCAAATCCCGCCAACGGAAGATTTTGTTTGCTTCTTGCATAAAAAATCTGAAACTTCCACCCATTTTTTACTTCAAAAAACAATGCTTCTTGCATAAGAAATCCGAAACTTCCACCCATTTTTTACTTCAAAACAATGATAAACTATTTCATCGAAGAAATTTCATTACATACCATGCAAAATCAACCAGAACAAGAAGAAAAAGTAGGTAAAAAATAATTGTAAATGGCAAAACGTTTGTTAGTAGTCCACAATGATACCAAATGGACTCTTGACACTGTACCCATCAGCCACCCAGAACAAGCTCCCTTGCACGAACCTCTGACTCGTCACATTCTTCACCGAGAACGTGACCGAGTAGCTTGCTCTCTCGCTCAACTGACCGAAAACAATCTCCTTAGGATTCACTTCCACTCCAACACCTTCGGGTGCATGCACCTCAGCTTTGTACACAGAATTAGCTCTCCCTACATTCGTCACAGTCCTCGTGTATGTCTGTGGCCGAGACCCCAGTTGCAGGACGAACGATGGGTAGTTCAGTTGAGCTTCCGATATCGTTTGGTTCGACGAGCACTCCACCTTCTTCTGCACGATGGTAGACACCTGCGCGTTGCTGTAGCCCAACCCGCACAGGTAAGGAACGTAGTCGTCGGGCAGAATGTCGTAAATCAGCCCAGGGTTAGTTGCCCCTGCTGGATTGACGTGGCCCGAGCCCATATCGAACATATCAGCAATGAGGCCTTGCTCGTCGGTGATCGGCTTGCCTCCAATTTGAGTCAGGTGGGTCGTGGTCATGATGGCGGATTTGATGGCAGCTGGCGACCAGTCCGGGTGAGCACTTCTGAGTAGAGCTGCAATGCCGCTCAGATGAGGGCAAGCCATCGATGTGCCAGAGATCATGTTGAATGTAGATTGAGAACTGTTGTTGAGGATGTTGTTATCTGCAGGAGCTGGCCAAGCAGCTAGAATGCTCACTCCCGGTCCAATCACATCGGGCTTCATGATCCCGGGGCTAGCCTGGCTCGGACCTCGGGACGAGAAGGATGCCACTTGGGGGGCTTCTTGTTTGCCGATCACGGTTCCTTTGAATATGATGCTAGCAGTTGGTGTTGATGTGGAGTTGATGTAGGCCTTGATGGCCAATCCGGCCTCGTAGTTGACATGGGAGGTCGGAAGCTCGTGAGCATCAGCTAGAGTTGTGAAGCCGTTAGCGACATTGTTGATCAGGATCATTGCAGCTCCACCATGACTCTTCACTTCGATTCCTTTGTCGAGCCTCCTGATTTCGCCTCCCATCTCACACACCACCATTTTGCCTTTGACGTCGAGCTTGTTCAGCGACCCTGGCGCGCAGTAGACTCCCGAGGAGTTAGCAGCAGAGCCTGCATAGACGAGCGGCAACATCTTGGAAGGGAAATCCTCTGGCTGAAACAGAGTTTGACCGTCCATTTCCTTTTTGTTCCCCAGCAGGACGGTCGATCCCATTTGACGATCGACCGTGCTAGCTCCCACGGTCAGAATCCATGGCGCCTCGTTCGACAGCGACCCAGCAGCAGGGCCGCTGTTCCCAGCTGCACAGCTCACAAGCACTCCCTTCTTCACCGCCCCGAATGCACCGATGGCGATTCCGTCCTGGAAGAAGGGAGCCGATTCCCCGCCTAGAGAGAGCGACAACACATCGACGCCATCTCCAACTGCCGCATCAATTGCCCCCAATATGGCGCTGTCTGCGCAGCCCTGTTGGCCGCACACTTTATAGATGGCCAAATGAGCCATTGGCGCCATGCCAGAAGCAGTCCCCCACCCTTGGCCCAAGGCATTGGCACCATCCACCGCACTTCCTGCAGCTGTGCTCGCAGTGTGCGTCCCATGGCCTACCTCATCAGCAGGGGATTCCCCACTTGCGACGAGGTTCCTGGCGCCGATCACCTTGTTGTTGCAAACATCCTTGAAATCGCATTTGCCTTTCCATTTAGCGGGCGGGGGAGGCATCCCCTTGTCGCTGAAAGAAGGGTGATTAGGCGTCACGCCCGTGTCCAAAACCCCAACAATCACTCCCTTCCCGTAGTTTGAAGAGTTCCAAAACCCTGTAGTATTCTGCTGAAGCCCCAGGAATTTGGGAGTGTATGTTGTCTGGAGGGACAGGATCCTCTCGGGATGGGCCGAGAGGAACCCTTGCTTCTGCTTCATCGTCTCGACTTCGGCTGCAGTGAGCTTGGCAGCGAACCCTGTGATGACATGGCGGTAAGAATGGACTATCCGCGGCTCGTCGGAGCTCAACTCTGTAGTCACCGGCAAGAATTGCTGGTAGTAGTTGTCGAGATTTTCTGACTCCAATGAATCGAGGCCTTGAGGCTTCTCGACGAAGACTAGGTAAGTCTTCAAGGCATTCTCTGCAGGAACTGCCACGGTGAAGCAGAACAGAGAAGCGAAGATGATGAGATAGCCAACCACCATGTTCATGTTCTTCCCCAACAATTTGTGCTTTCTTGTTCTCTTTTGCTGATCAAGAGAACAAGAAATGTTGGGTTGATGGGAGATGGAATAGTGATGGTTGGTATTTATACATCAAGGAAAATGGTGAATGATTGTGCAAACCAATTGAAGGGATATTTTGTAAGTGAAGCTTTGTGATGGTGACAGGGGCAGATATCAATCTCTGGATCTTAGTTATTTTTTTGTTATACTTGTGATCTCATACAACCGTCCCAATTACAAACAAATCTAAGAACAAAATTTTATTTGTGTTTTGTCACGATGGACATCATTTGATGCAAATTACTGTCCTTGTTAGGGTCAATTACACAAATGACACTACACTTGAGATTACCCACATATTGGTTACGGAACTTTGATTATTATCAAATTTTGTCACTGAAGTCTAGATTGACTGGCAACACAGTCACTTCATCCACAAAAGTTCCAATTTTTCGTTCAAATTATCTTGACTGACGTTTGAACTTTACTAGTTTAAAAGTCTTTGCTAACAAGGATCGTCCATTTTAAACCAAAGCCTATCCAAACCGAGTCGGCTGATGAACTCCACTCAACCCCCAACACTGTCATATATGGTTCGTATTGGGTTAATGGTTTGGTTGGGTCTTGTATGCTTTCATATGAGTTGTCAATGCACGAGACAAACACAAATTATTAACTTGGTTGAGTTATCATGCTCATTCGGGTAATTTGGACAGAAAACTTGAACGTCAAAAGGCATCGTCACAAGTCCAAACTTTTGTTGAACAGTTTGTTAAACAATAAAGTTTCACGGGTTCATAGTTAATGACCTTAAAGTTTAGTGGCCATTTATATAATTGATCCATCCTTGTCATAGGGGTGAAAGCTTGCCCCGGACGACTCATTGACCCGTCCCAACCCGTCCCGTCCCTAACGGTCGAGACGGGTCAGTTTGTCTATAGGAACAGAATTTGGACGGGTCATTTGTTGACCCTGTAAGGGTCTGGATGGGTAGGAACAATTTAGGGACGGGTCACGTTTTGACTCTGTGACCCATAGCAACAACAAATATCTCACACCACATTGGATTTTTTTGTAAAGTTTTAAAAGTTTAGGTACTAACTTGTAAAAATGCAAAAATTTGAGTACCAAAACGTAATCTTACCATCAAAATTTATGGCCGTATTTGTAAAAAAAAATTAGGTACTAAATTGTAAGAAAAAATAATTTTGGATACCACAACATAATTTGTAAAACAGTAGTGTGTTGGTTAGGGTCGACCCACTGACACGGTCCGTCCCGTCCCAACCCTTGAGGGTCGGACAGGGTCAAGAAGGAGATAAGGACGGGACGGGTCAGTTATACATCTTGACCCTTCAGGGACGGGTCAGACAGGGTCAGGGACGGGACATGGATGGGACAGACAAATTTTCTGCCCTAGTTTGTCACTTAACACTATGTTTGCTAGAGGTGCAAATAGAGGGGTGCAAAGTTTGGGTAAATATCATTTCCAATGCATTTACCATTATTTGGTTAATCTGCAATAGTGGTAGGGGAGTAAGTGAGGGGTAAGTTCACTATTCCCCTTAACCCTGTAATTTGAGGTGCAAGAAAAGAGAGAAAAGAAGGAAGAATAAAGAGTGTGTAAAACTAATGTTAAAATTATTATAATGTATATTATTATATTTAGATAAATATATTTTGAATAAATATATACAAATAATAATTTTTATTATTAAAATAGTAAGAAAGGCTATAATTACTATTGAATCATATATCATAATTTTTATTATTATAGTCTTATTAATATAAAATTTGTTCGTAAATCGCAAGTTTATCAAATTGGCTCCAATTGTTGAATGTTTTTAACGAAGTTTGACTCAAATTTGCGTTGAAAAGTATACAGAATAAGTTCATAGAAAAAGTAGAATGAGAAAATGTTTGGGTTGAAAAGTATACATAAGAAGTGTCTTGTAAATACTGAAGAAAAATAGACCGATTTGGCATTTGAAGCGGACCAAATAGGACCGAATGCAATGATGGTCAGATTCTTAGTCCTAAGTTGTTTATTGCTATTGGACCTCGGTTCTCGTGAGTTTGGTTTGGTACGGACAAGACCAAACTGTTGCACTCCCTACCTAGTTTGGGTTCACTGTTTGACTTGAATGAAAGTTTGTCAAGATTCGTCTATTCAAATCGAGATCAACATGTCGACATACAACGCTCTGGCGGGAGATATGAGCTAGCTATATGTATTGGCCATAGGTTGTATTTCGAGATTGCTCGATCAATGATTAATTACTATTTAATCATTATTGTCTTAATAGTTACTTTTATTAAATCATATTTTTAATATTTAGGATTATTATATGAAGTTTTATTTATTATTTGGGTAAATTTCATGGTTGGTCACTGGAATTATTTTAACGTTTCAAGTTTGGTCACTAGAAATATTTAATTTCGTTCGTAGTCACTAACTTTACATTTCCGTGTCATCTTTAGTCACTCTCCGTCCAATTCCGTTAACTTTTGTCTACGTGGCAGTCAACTATTATAGTTGACCGTTAAATGTGTGACTTGGCATTTAAAAAATTAATAAAAAATAAATTTCAAGGTCTTAAATTTTCCACCTCATTTATCGATTTTTTAAATGTCACGTCACACATTTAACAGTCAACTATAAGTGTTGCATGCCACGTAAGCAAAAGTTAACGGAATTGGACGGAGAGTGACTAAAGATGAAACGAAAATGTAAAGTTAGTTACTACGAACGGAATTAAGTATTTCTAGTGACCATACTTGAAACATTATAGTAATTCCAGTGACCAACCTTGCAATTTACCCTTTATTATTTTGTAATAATCTTTTAAAATTTTAATACTAATATTTTATTTAACAAAAAGCAGCTAGAATGACAGGGAAGGAGAAGAGGAACAAAACATCCAGGAAATGCAGTTCAAAAGGGTTGAACTAGCCAAATCACCAGGAAAAGAAAATAGCAGCCGAAGGGACCAGACCTTCCCTGCTGCAAAAACAAAACAATCATCAACTAAAGTAATCAGACCATCCCTACTGGAAAAAACAAACCAACAAAAAATACACGAAAACTAAAACATATAGAAAAAAAGGCAGTTAAATGGACGAGGCCATCCCTGCTGCAAAACAAAAAAAAAACTAAAAGATACTAAGGAATAGAAACTAAAAAATACAACATGATACATCTGGGAAAAAACACAGACCTCACATTCTAGTAACTCTGAAGAAACGTTCATTCAACCATTGGGACCCTTGATCTTTGTGAACTTTGTCGTGAGCTACAAGTCATTCCAAAACCGTCCGAGCAATATTACAAGCAAGAACGCGGGGTGTGAGTCGAGTATTATTGAAAATTCTTTGATTCTGCTCCAACCATATGAGCCAACAAACCGCGTGAAGACTTTAGGAAATTAACCATCCATCAATTGAATCTGGGCTATTATCAGGCCAAGATTGAATGACATTCAGGATGTGGCCTCGAGGTCTTAAGGTGTTGCAACCTCTTCTTATGTTGGTTCAAACTTCCTGAGTGTAGCTACAATCAATAAAAAGATGGTTTGCCGATTCTTCTTTGCATTAGCACAACTCACAGCGGTTTGCCAATATCCAATCTCTTTTGCAGATTATCAAGAGTAGGAGCTCTTTTGTGTCGCAGAATCCACATAAAGTAACAGACTTTTGTAGGTGCAATAGGTCTCAAAATTGCATCGACAGAATAATCTTGAATTTCCGGAAAGGATTTCTTAGCAAGATACCTATACATAGAGCTTACAAAAAATGAAGAATCCAGATTCGGGATCCACACAATTCTACATGGACTATCAACAATGAGACAAGAATCATATGAATCAAGTAAGTTTAACAAATTATCACTCTCTCTCAATTCCCCCCTCCCCTCTCAAATTGAAGTCCAGGTTGATATTCCGTTGTAAATGCGTACCTGATCGGGTAACTATGTTCGAGATCTTGGCATATGGGTTTGTTGCGGTAGCGGCGACACGAGGAAAGGCAATGGCTAGCACGATCCCAAAAATCCAACAATCATACCAAAAAGAGATATGTGCTCTGCATCCGGGATCGAGGTGAGATATCATCCAGAAAGCTTCGTATTCTTTGGAGATGCTAGCCCATGGCGAGCTTGAGAGTCCCCCTCTAATATGCACGGTATGCCATTCTAAAAGATTACTCCCGTATTTGATTTCGATGAGCTCCCGCCACCAGTTATGTCTTTCAGTGGCATATCTCCATAGCCACTTTGTCAGTAATGCTCTACTGAAAGTATCCATGTCGAAAATGTCGAGACCTCCATTAGCATTTGAGGCCTTGCAAAGCTCCCAATTAACAATTGGTGTTCTGTGTATGTTACCTGTACCACTCCATAGAAAATTCCTCATCATTTTTTCCATTCTGCCCGTGACTTTTTTGTGTGCTTTGAACAGAGAAAAGTTGTGAACTGGAAGACTGGATAGAACCGCCTTGTTAAGGGTTAATCTGGCTCCATAGGAAAGATACCGTCACATCCACTCTTCAAGTTTAGATTTAAATTTGTCAACCACAGGATCCCAGATGTTAGCAGAGTTCGTTCTCCCACCAAGGGGGAAGCCAAGGTAAGTTAGCGGGTCTCTGCTCCACTTGCATCTGAGGATCGCAACATAATAGCTTGGATTAGGTACATCACCGACGGTGTACATCACATATTTTTTTAGATTGATCTTCAATACCGTAACTGTTTGAAAACAGACAAGAGTGGCCAGAATGTTTAGATATTGCAGGTGGGAGACGTCGCAGAAAATAAGCGTATCATCCGCGAACAAAATATGAGTAACTTCACCACTTCTTTCATTCTCGTTCATATAGAAACCTTCAATCTTGTTGTCCTCATTCAACTTGGATAACATAAAAGATAAGACATCCATGATCATTGCAAATAGTCCTTATGAGAGTGTGTCTCCCTGGCGAAGACC